CCCTGGCTGATTTTTCTCTCAACTTCAGTAGCATAACCATTATAGCCCCCCCCCACCCCCCAACCATTGCTGCCTCGCTGAGATTAAATAATTGAGCACAGCCCTGATCTGGGAGACACGGTGCACGGCCAGGTGGTACTTTTCCTCATCAGCCACACTGAACCTGTACCTGGCCTCCTCACTGCAGCAACAGTGGAAACAGCAGGCTTATCCTGAAGAGGAGCGAGGGCTCAAAGCCATGACAGCCCAGTGCCTCTCCCAACCCCCTCAACACAGAATCATACAGCACAAAAACGAGTCCGAAGGTTGTGTTGTACATGTTCCATAATGGGACTTGGCGAGTTCATTTAGTCTAGGCTGACACTCCCATGGAGAGCTGGGAGTGTGCTGCGTTGTTGCTGTGTACAAATTGGCTCCTGCATTCTTCCACAAACACAATAATTGCACTTTACAGAAAATTCTTGAAGTGCTTTGAGATATCCTCCCAATGTGAAAGACACTATACGAAATGTCACATCACTGGAATGTCTCAGTGCTTCACATGCTATTCTGTAAAGTAGTGTGACTGTCTATATTTTCTGATTGAGTTGGTCACTCTCACCTCTGAGTCAGAAGGTTGTGGGTTTAAGTCCAACCTCAGGATTCTGACCTCATAAACTGAGGCTCCAATAAAGTGCATGGGGTGTGTTGTATTGTCAGAAGGGTCACCTTTCCGATGAGATGGGACATTAAACAGATGTCCCGCCTGCCTGTTCAGATAGACGATGACAACCTCATTTCACTATTTGAAAACAACATTCCTCCAAATAGAATGAGTCATTCATTTCATGGCTGTTTGTAAGACATTGCTGTGTGTAAATTGGCTGTGCATTCGTCTACAGTCACTGCGCTTTATGGTATATCCAGCATAGAGCTTTGAGACATCTCAAGGACGTGATAAGGTGCTATATGAAACATAAGTTTCATCCCTCTATACATGAACTGCACTAGCCATCACACGCCTAATAATAATCCCTCCAAAACCAAAAACAATAATAAATTGGTCATTTTCAATCTACGACTGTTTGTGGGACATTGCTGTGCGCAATTGGCTGCCGCGTTCGCCCACAAATATACAGTCAATTCACTTTACAGTGTGTTCTGTGAAGCGCTTTGGGACGTCCTCCTGACGTGAAAAGCGCTATATCAAATGCAAGGATTATTATTATTATTATAAGGATTATTATTTTAATTAGAGCAGCAACACTGAGAAGGAAGATCAGAAATCAGTTCCTCAAGAGGACTGTGAGCTGTAGGACACACTGCCCCAAGAGGCGAAATCAATCAGCATGTTTAAAAGGGAGATAGACAGAGAGTTAGGACATAAGGGACTTTAAGCTCATTGAACCAAGGTTCTCAGTTGGACTCTCAGTAAGCAGCATTCTGGCACCGGGTCTGAAGGTGGTAGATTCAAGTCCCACACAAAAGAAATTTACATTTATTATAGAGTAGCTCCTTTCAGAAGCGGATCATAGCTGCCACTTCAGGGTGCAATGAGAATACTGCGATCCTGGAAAACATCATGTACACATAAAGGTGAAGGATAAACTGTCAGGAAGCTTTGAGGATCTAACCAAGGCACGACACGGTGGGTCACAAGCTCATCCAGACCGTCAGCCTTCAGAAAACTGTTGTGCGACCTATTGACTGGTACATCAAGTGTTATTGGAAACTGTGCCCAGAGAACTGGTTCAATAGAGGTGAAGAAGGGAGTCAAACAAGTCAATCTATTGTCTCCCATCTGTTTAAAATTGCGCTCAACCCGCCAATGTGCACACCAACCCGTCCTTTTGGAAGTAGCGAACAAACAATATATTGAATATAACCTCACCAGTGACCTACACAAAGTCAGAACAATGTGTTTTAATTTAAGAGTAAATGCCCTCAAGACAAAACCTTGTAATTCCAGACAGTCGGGTGTCTGTCACTTGTAAAAACCCATCAACGTGCTGAACAGTATCCAAAGCAGACAGAGTTCCAATTGGTCTTATACTTAGCTTGTTTCGCACTGACTGACTGAAACCTTCAGTAAATGACCAATATGCATAGAATGCAGTTCCTTCACTGCCTCTACCAATTGCCGTTCTTTTGTTGTGTTCTGCCAGCAATCACACCTGGTAATCTGTTTCAATTATTAATTATAATAAAATCATCATTCACTTATAATAATAATCCTTCCATTTGATATAGTGCCCCATGTTGCAGAATATACTGTAAAGTGAATTGACTGTTTATTTTATGGGTAAAATATCAATCAATCAAAAATTGCATTTGTATGGCACCTTTCATGTTGAGAGGATGTCACAAGATGCTGGATAATCGGTGTTTCGGACTCGAGCTGGGAGTCGGGATCGGGGAGGGTGAAGGGCAGGGGATGGGAGGAGGGTGACTAAAGGCACGGTTGAAGAGAAGGGTCTTGAGATGGGTCTTGAAGGAGGCAAGGGAGTGGGTGAGGTGGAGGGACTGCGGGATGGAATTCCAGAGAGTGGGGGCTGAGTGGCTGAAGGCCCACATGCCAATGGTGGGGCTGGAGAGGCAGGGGACATGAAGCAGGCCGGAGCCCGCTGAGCAGAGGGAGTGGGCAGGTTGATAAGGGGTTTGGAGGTCGCAGAGGTAGGGGGGAGTGAAGCCATGGAGGGCTTTGAAGGTGAGGACCAGGATCTTGAACTGCATCCTCTGTGTGATGGGAAACCAGTGGAGTCGGGCGAGGATGGGGGTGACAGGGAGCCTGGTGTGGGAGAGGACACAGGCTACAGAGTTCTGGATGATCTGTGGCTTACGGAGGGAGGAATTGGGAAGGCCGACAAGGAGGGAGTTTGCGTAGTCGTGCCTAGATGTTATGAATCCATGTATAGGGTCTTGGCGAACTGCTGTGTGAGATAATTGCAGAGCTGGGCAATGTTACAGAGGTGGGGAATAGGACGCCGAGGTTCGGTACTGACTCCGTGAGATGTAGAGTGCATCCATGGAGGGAGATGCTGTCAGTGCCCGAGGTATGGAGGTACTGACGGGAGCCAAGCAGGAGGGCCTCGGTCTTGTTGATATTCAACTGCAGTAGGTCACCTCTCATTCAGGACTTGATGTCCGACAGGCAGTCTGTGAGGACAGCTGTGGTTGTGGAATTGAGGGTGGAGGCAGAGAGGTAGAGTTGGGTGGAAGTTGACCCCATGTCTGCGGATGATGTCACCAAGGGAGAGCATATAGATATTGAAAAAAAGAGGAACAAGCACATACGAGGGATGCCATACGTGATGGTGAAGCCGTTAGTGGGGACAAAGTGGAGACGATGGGAGAGGTAGGATTCGAACCAGGCAAGGGCAGGTCTGCGAAGGTTGAGATGAGGGGAGAAGCGGTGTAGTAGGATGGAATGGTTGACAGTGTCGCAGGCAGCAGAGAGGTTGAGGAGGACAAGGAGGGAGAGAGAGCCCTGGTCGCAGATGTTCAGAATGTTGTTTATGACTTACCAGGGTTGTTTCTGTGCTGAGGGCAGCACGGAGACCCAATTGGAGGGGTTCAGAGAGGAACGGCGGGAGAGGAGGGAACAAAGCTGGGACGCGACAACCCGTTCCAGGGCCTTGGAAAGGAATGAGAGGTTGGAGATGGGGCGATAGCTGGAGAGTAGGGATGAGTCCAGGGAAGGATTTTTGAGGATGGGGGTGATGACAGCTGTTCTTAGGGGGTTGGGAACAGTGACAATGGATAAGAAGAGGTTGATTATCTTGATTAAAAGAGGGGCCAGGAGGTGAAGGTAAGGAGAGGAGTGGGGATGAGGTTGAGGGAGCAGATAGTAGGCTTCATTTTTGAGATGATGGAGGATTATTATTATGATCATTAATGATATATTCTTGATGTATCCCCTTTCATATCTCAAGCAGTTCACAGTGACTGTATTTTGTAGGCGACTGTGACAGTTTGCACACAGCATTCTCCCACAAACAACCATGAAGTGATTGTCTGATTTTCTTCGGGGGATTGTTGGCCAGGACACCGGGAGAGAGATCTCCCTCTCTTTTCAAAGGGGAGGCAGGCATAGAGTGAGAGGCAGGCAGAGAGAGAGTGAGGGGACAGGCAGAGAGAGAGTGAGGGGCAGGCAGAGAGAGAGTGAGGGGACAGGCAGAGAGAGAGTGAGGGGACAGGCAGAGAGAGAGTGAGGGGACAGGCAGAGAGAGAGTGAGGGGACAGGCAGAGAGAGAGTGAGGGGACAGGCAGAGAGAGAGTGAGGGGACAGGCAGAGAGAGAGTGAGGGGACAGGCAGAGAGAGTGAGGGGACAGGCAGAGAGAGAGTGAGGGGACAGGCAGAGAGAGAGTGAGGGGACAGGCAGAGAGAGAGTGAGGGGACAGGCAGAGAGAGAGAGTGAGGGGACAGGCAGAGAGAGAGTGAGGGGACAGGCAGAGAGAGAGTGAGGGGACAGGCAGAGAGAGAGTGAGGGGACAGGCAGAGAGAGAGTGAGGGGACAGGCAGAGAGAGTGAGGGGACAGGCAGAGAGAACGAGCGAGAGAGAGGTGGGGAGGCACAGAGAGGGGGAGAAGCAGAGAGAGAGGTGGGGGGGGGGGGGGGGGGGGGCAGACAGAGAGAGAGAGTAAGGGGTCAGTCAGAGAGCGAGAGAGAGAGGGGGGCAGACAGAGAGAGTGAGAGAGTGAGGGATAGGCAGAGAGAGTGAGAGTGTGGGGGGTCGGTAGAGAGAGTGGGGGGAAGGCAGAGAGTGAGAGAGTGGGGGGAAGGCAGAGAGAGTGAGAGAGTGGGGGGTCGGTGGAGAGAGTGAGAGAGTGGGGGAAGGCAGAGAGAGTGAGAGAGTGGAGGGTCGGTGGAGAGAGTGGGGGGTCGGTGGAGAGAGTGATGTGCAGAGAGAGTACCCATTGATGTCAGGGTTTCTCTCCTCTTCTCCCCCCCCACCCCCAGAAAGCCACCGGTGTCTGTCTGTCTGTCTGTCTGTCTGTCAGGTCGCCCGGGTGTCACTCACCTCTTTGGCGGTGGCGTCCTCGCTGATGTCCAGCAGCGAGTACAGGTCGAGTTGGAGGATCTCCTTGGCGGCCATGTCCAAACCTGTGCGTCTCCGTCTCAGCCACGAACGGACATGCGCGGGCGGTGCCCCCTGGGAATTGCCGTCGGGCGGGAGGCGCTCGCGCACAGGACTACATCTCCCGACGTGCATCGCGAAAGGTGTCCCTCGACAGCCCCGCGCGTCGGGATGGCGGTGCACGCCGGGAGTTGTAGTCGGCCGGGCGCGGGTCTCCCGGACGGTTGGCCGACCCCCGGCGGCCAGCGAACTACACATCCCGATGTGTATCGCGCGCCACCGGGCGGTGGGCGGTGGGCGGCCGCTCGGTGCGTCTTTAAATGTGAATCCGCAGAGCGACGGTTGGGCGGTTGGTCGGTGCGTGTTCGAGCTGAGGAGCGATGAGCGGGAGGTGCTTCGGCTGCGCCTCAAAATTCGGTCTGTTGAGGAAAGAGGTAAGTTCGCCGGTGTGGCGGCCGCGGGGGGTTGACGGGCACAGAGCGCCGCACCGCACTGCGCTCGCCGTCCCGCTCACGGCGGCTCCACGCCTCAGGCTGTCCGCGGGCCTCCGGGCGGAGGAGGGAGAGTCTGAGGCGGGAGACTGCTCCTGGGGGGAGGTCACAGGAGCGGCTGTCAGGCCGTGCCAGGGGGGGCGGCTGTTTACCCATCAGTCAGTCAGTCAGTCGGGAGGGGAGGGGGGGGGTTAAAAGTCGGTTGTTTTTATTTTGTTTTTAAAAAAAAGGCAGTTTATGTTTTGCTCAAAAAAAAATTGCAGAGTCAGTCCCACTTCACCGTATATCCCCGTCAAGTGCTTTGAGATGTCTCGGTGATGTGATCAGGTGCTGTGTGAAATGCCAGGGTTGTTGTTGTTATTATTATTATTAAACGTCAGTTTATGTTTTGCTCACAAAATGCTCACAGTCACTCCACTTCACCGGTTTTTTTTTTTTGGGTGGGGGGGGGGAGCGCTGGTCACCCACCCGGTGTCTGACACCTCGGGAATCCCATCGCCGTGTTTTAAGAGCATCCGAACCAAACTGAGGTATCCACCTACACGTGGAAATCCCGGGGACTGGGATGTTGGAGTGGGATGCGCTCTCTCTCCCTGGAGGGACCCACACCGTTTACCCACTTCCAGAGAGAATTAGGCGCAGGTCGGCAAGAGTATTTGGTGCAATGTCGGCAATGTCATGTTGGCAGAATGGGCGTGCGGGTGTTGGTCGAGTGTAAACCGCATGGTTTGCCATTGAGTACGTTGTCTGCCATTGAGTACCAACCTCTGGAATTCCATCCCCAATCACTCCACTTCGCCCCCCCCCCACCCTCCTGAGCCTCCTTCAAGTCCCGCCTCAACACCCTCCTCCTTGACCATGCCATCGGCCACCCGCCTTCCCCTCCCCTCCCTTCTCCCCCCCCTCTTCCCCCCACCCCGACCCCACCTCGGGTCCGAAATGCTGTACACCGTCCACCATCTTGGGACGTCCTCCCAACGTGAAAGGCGCTATACGAATGTAATCTTGTTGTTGTTGTCTGGCAAGCTTCCAGTGGTTTATTCAGATAGGACCACCCTACGTGTTAGGGCTTTGGCTTGCAGGGTTCGCAGGAGCTGAGAGGGAGGAGTCCCTGCCCCCAGTGACTGGTCTGTCTTTCCGTGTCCTGCCGATGAGGCAGATGGCTGTGATGTCATCAGCAGTGACCTGGAATACTGCGGACCTGCCAAGAAGAGCGGGGGATTAGGATGCACAGCTTCTTGGAGGGACAAGCACTGATGACAAAATTGGCAGAATGGGCCTCCAGTGTTTCGGTGAATCACAGAGAAGTGTTGGGCAAACCTTATGAATTGGTCTTCGCACAAATCTGTTTTGTGAAGTCTCGTACCTGTCTACTCTGGTGGTCCAGTGCTCTCTAGCGGGTGCTGCTGGGCTTGTTGGCATAGGTCTGGGAGCATAATGTTAGGAGTTACTTTGGACTTCTTTGTGTCAAAATAAGACAATATCTGCATGGCTGTATTCTCTTTCTCCCTCCTGTCCCCCACCCCTCCAACCATGTGTCCTACATCTCCTATATTTTTTGATATTGTTCGTACCACCATAATAATAATCCTTGTATTTGATACAGTGCTGTATATTGTGTCAGAAGAATGTCTCAAAACGCTTCTCAGGAATTATGGTAAAATAACAATAATCCTTGCATTTCGTATAGCACTTTATCACGTCCTCAAGACATCTCAAAGCGCTTCACAGAATATATTGTGAGTCAATTTGATTGTATTTTGTGGGCAAAACGCGGCAGCCAATTGCACACAGCATTATCCCACAAATAGGCATGGATTGAGTTACCACTGGGAATTGTCAAAGTGCAGTGACTGTGCATTTTTAGGCAATCATGATTTGCAGTGTCCCACGCACAGCCATGGTATGATCATCCTGAGTGAGCTAGAGGAATAAAAATATGAGCTTGGGCTCTTTGGCTTCAAAAAAAACTGGGTTTACCTTCTAAATATCAATATCGTTCTTTCAGATATGCTAAGGCAGAACCAGAAGCCACAGTTTCAGGGTTGTGATGGGCAGTTCAGACACCAGGAGATGTCTTTACACAAAGTAAAGCTGAAATGGGGGAAACTATCAAGAATGTTGGAGACTTCTTTTGAAGAAGCTGGAATAAGAACAGTCAGATAGTGAGTTAGGAGAGATGAAATCAAATGGTCGAAGAGCCTTCATCTTGTGATCAATGAATGCAGCTTTATAATAATCATTGCGTTTGATATAGTGCCTTTCACGTCAGGAGGATGTCTCAAAGCGCTTCATCGGATTTTAATGTAAAGTGTAGTGACTGTGTAGTTCCACTTATGCTAAATAAATGCCTCAGTTTGTATAATTCCAGGATGAATTTTGAAAGTTGTCTATGTTTTGTTTCTGGCAGCTTGGGTGTAAGAACTGTGGCCATGCGTACTGTTCATCATGCCTCAGTTACAGCACCCTGGTCCCTCGCTTAGGAAATACACAACAGAAGGTCTGCAAACAGTGCTACGAATCCCTCACAAGGTAACGAATACTGGCATTTTCCAACAACTTGCGTTTATAAAGCATCTTTCAAAGATAGGACCTGAACATGTCAATGTCTCCAAATGCTTCACAGGATTTTACTGTAAAGTCTAATGACTGTATTTGTAGGCAAACATTGGATCTAATTTGCGCACAGCATGTCTGCCTGTTCAGGTGGACAGTAATGGTAATAAGTGTAGTGATTATTTTTGTAGGCAAATATTCCAGTCAATATGTGAACTGCAATGTCCATAAATGGGAGGATGATTAATCTGCAGGATTGTCAGCCAGGATACTGGGAAAAATGCCTTTTTCTCTTCCAATAATGTCAACCGATCTTGAACGTCCACCTGAAGGCAAGCAGATTAGGCCTCGATGTAGCAACTTGCCAGCATTGCAGTTTTTGATAAGATGCATAGTTAGCACTAACGTTAATGTCAATCTGTTTGTGCCTTTACACAGGGACCTCTGTTTAGTAACAGCTGACTTGTAACATGAGCACAATGCCCTGTTATGTGGCATTCTCACTTGCAGAGGCCCAGTACAATGTCAGCCCAGCTCTCTCACAGTTAAGGCAGTGAACCAGTAAAATGCCAATACAACATTCCCTCTTAATGCTGGGTCTCTTTCTTCCACTCTGGTTTGATTACAATAAGAGTTGTAGCATGGATTTTCGTCCCACCATGCCTGTTCCTGCTTCAATTTCACCACTGCTATCAATTGTATTCATTGATATAATAATAATACTTGCAATTGACTATTATTATTTTGTGGGTTAATGTGTCACCTATTTGTGCACAGGAGTGTTTTACAAATAGCTACAAAGTGAATGACCTGAAGAATTTTTAGTAAGGAGAAACTCCCTTCTATTTTTGAATAATGTCATAGGATGGGACAGATGGGACTCAGTTTGTTTCATCCAAGGGATGACAATGCAGCACCCCCAACACTGCATAGGAGTGCCTACTGAGACGATGTGAGTTCCAAGTCCTAATGTGGGGCTTGTACCCAGTCATCTGAAGTCCTGTAACTCAGTGATTAGAGCATTCACCTCTCAAGCGAGAGGACCTGGGTTCAATTCCCGGGCAGGGAGAAACGTTGGGCAAGTTTCCTAACTCCACACCCCTCTGTTTACTTAGTACTCTTTTTTTTGATTGCTGTTTACTCTGTTTAAGTAGGAACCCGGTTGTTGGTTGATTGGTGGATCGCTTTTCTGGGGGGAATAATCTTTTAAAAATAAGAATAATTTGGTCACTCAATCCACGACTGTTTGTGGGACATTGCTGTGTGCAAATTGGCTACTGCGTTTCTCCCAGAAAATATACAGTCAATTCACTTTACAGCATATTCTGTGAAGCACTTTGAGACGTCTTGAAGATGTGATAAGGCGCTATATAAAAATGCAAGGATTCTTATTATTATCTGACTCAGAAATCTACTAAGCTAGGCTGTAGTACAATATGTGTCAGTAGTGTTTTAGAATTGGAGCAATATTTGAATCCCATTGTATGCAACACAGGAGAAAGCCAATCGGTCATTGTGCCTTTGCTGTGCCTTTGCTGCTGGTGTTCGCTCCCCAGTTGAAATCTTGCTGTGGGTTGATGTACTGAGACGCTGCTTCACTGAGCAGTTGGATGTGGATTTGTATTGGTGAGGGGAAACAGCAAAGGGGTTGCCTGTTTGTGGAATGGTGGAGTAATTACCGGTTCAGGGAGCCTATGGTGGTGGCGGGGATTTACCGGACGGGGAGGTGGTGTCAGATGTGGGAGGGTTCAGTTCGGAGGAAGTTCAGTATTTCCCTGCTGGCTGAGAGTGCAAACTACGACTCCTCAGGAACAACCTCCGCTTATCATCTCCTGTCCAGCTCAGTAAAGGAATAATGTGTGGTGACTGGGACAGCTGCTTGTGGAGAATAAGTAAGACTCACTAATGTGCTCTGCCATTTCTTTCAAAGTGGTGGGAAACGGGAAAACCCAGCAAGGTGGTCTCCACCAGACAACTACAAAAGGTGAGTGGATGGGAATGTGGGGGAGTTTGTTACCGTTATGGATATTGTAGCATCACCGTTCGACCCGCTGGGTCTGTGTCACTCTGTTCCACACTGTCCCATCATTTTCTTCCTCTTTTTCCAGGTACATTTCTTTCTTCATGTGGTCCAGTCGTCTATTCACCATATCCCTCAATATTCCTGTCTACCAAATATTCATCTACCTCCCTCTTAAATACTCCCATGACCCGGTATCTGTGACCTTTTGGGGTTATGAATTCCACATTTCCACGTCACTTTTTGTGTGAGAAACTGTTCTCTGATTTTACTCTTGACTGGTTAGCTTGAACCTCGATTCAACTTGGAAAGTTTCATCCCCTTGATTCAAATCCAGGCATATACTAACTCATTGCTAGTACATTGTTAATGACTTATATTAACTCATTGAACAAAGAGTAAATACACCTATTTAATCTGCAAGGTCTGAAATTCCACCTGAACTGAGCCTGCGAGACCATTCTCTTTTAAGATTTAGGATCACACAGAATCGTAGAAAATTCTTAAATTTGATCTTGTAAGTAAGTTTTCTGCATTTCTTAAAAAGAACCGGCAAACAGTTTAACCTTGACGTTGGTCTCTTGATTTTTATACGGCGGAGATGATAGGGGCCAATCCAGATCTGAGCATTCAGCAAATACCAAGGGAATCATTTGACTATTCAAGCCTCTATTTGGGTTCATTTCCTGTTTCCCATTTGCTGTCAGTGTTGAAAAGTGAGGCACTGTAGACATGCATTCCTCCCACTCGACTCTTGTTAACCCTGCAAGCCACAGCCCAAATGGGTAGGGTGGTCCTAGCTGGACAAGTCGTGGGATGTTTGCCAGATAGTGCTCTCAACAGCAAACTACGTAGTTCTGTGAACTGTTTTCTTTTATTTAGGTGATAATGGTTTAGCTTTGATTCTGTGTGTAACTAAAATTCTGCTTTAAGTTCCCAGAAGTAATTTCACTTGTTGATTGGGGGCCACAGGTCCTACAGTCTTTCACAGGGATCTCGGTGTGCAACACAATAATAGCCAGTTTTTCCCACTAAGACAGTCACCACACTCGACAATAATTACTGTGGGTTGCTTTCGCATCTTTCAATGTACAAGGAGCTATTAAAATGTAAGCTCTTTTCTCACTTGCTATTCTGTGCTGCAGGAGAGTAGCTGCTCTGGAGGCTCGACAGCAGAAAGAGGCTGGGGCCAAGAAAGCAGAAACTCAGCCTCCGGCGCTCAGTATTGGCGCTAGGTATCGGGGGCTGTCGAAGGAGGACCGAGCAATCGCTGAGCGGCTGGAGAAACTGAAAGAAGAAACCAAACCCAGTGAGTCTTGTGGCTTTAACAATGATAATCCTTACATTTGATATAGCGCCTTATTACGTCTTCAAGATGTCTCAAAGCACCTCGCAGAATATACTGTAAAGTGAATTGACTATGTTTTGTGGGCAAAATGTAGCAGCCAATTGCACATAGCAGTGTCCCACAAACAGTCGTGGGTTGAGTGACCGAATTATTATTATAATTTTTTTAATTCTTGAAGGGATTATTACCCCCTGAAAAGTAATCTGCCAATCGACTAAAACCAAATTCCTACTTACTGCTAGGTAAACAGAAGCGTGCGGAGTAAGGAAACGTGCCTAATGTTTCGCCCTGACTGGGAATTGAACTCCGGTCCTTTCGCTCAGGCTACAGGATGCTTACATATGCAACGCTACAATATGCAACGTTCCCCTAAACTTCTATTTAACAAGATTGTTAGGGTCACACAGAAGTGTGTTGTGGATTAATGTCTTTTTAAAAGACTTTATCTTGATCATTATCTTCAAACTGTTGAGGGGACAAGAGGGCATTAGGAATAATGAGCTCGCACTTCTCAATCATTATTGCTCTGCGCAAACGTCTGCCTCAATTCAACAATAACTTGCATTTACACAGCGCCCTTCATGTGTGGTAGTGGCTCAGGAGCACTTCACATTGGTGGAGCTTGACAACGAGCAGGAGATAGAGAGGAGGTGACTGTAGGCATGGTCAAAGAGGGAGGTCTTCAGATATGATCTGAACACGGGCAAGGATCGGGCTAGGAGGAGGGATTCAGGCACAGATGGTCACATTTCCCGATCTTTGCATCCACCCGAACAGGCAGATGTACCTCAGTTTAACATCTTATCCAAAGGATGATACCTCTGACAATGCAACATTCCCCCAGTACAGCACTGGGCATGAGCCTAGGCCTAATGTGGGGCATGAACACATAATCTTGTGACCCATAGGTGAAAGTGCTACCAACTAAGCCAGACTGACATACAAGTTTTCAAAGCCAAACCAAAGCCAGAAGGGGTTAAGCTTACGATCTAAATGAAATTGCAGGATTTTAGTGTAAATCTTTGTTTATTGCAGAATCAATACCTTCTGACCAGGACATTGCATTGCGACTGGCCTCGTTGAAGAATGACCCTGTGCGACCCATCCCCACCACTGCCGAGATGCAGGACCGATTGGCAGTGCTACAGGGCCAGATCCCACCATCGCAGGCCCCCAAACCTGTAATGATCGTGTTTCCTTCTGCTGTCTCACATGTAGAAAGTACTGAGATTTACAGGCCATCTCACAGCTCTCACCTCCTCCACCTACCCGACCTCCCCCTAAAACTCTCCGTACCCGTAAGCAACCTAGGCGTCAGGTTTGGCCCCCAATTATCCTTCCTCCCCCACATCCGGTCCCTCACTAGCACCGCTTTCTTCCACCTCTGACGCATTGCCCGTCTCTGCCAATACCTCTCCCCAAAAGCCGCTGAAACCCTGGTCCATGCCTTTGTCACCTCTCGGCTGGACTACTCTAACGCCCTCCTTGCCGGTCTCCCCTCCATAAAATCCAAATCATTCAAAACTCTGCCGCCCGCATTCTCACCCGCAGGAAACTCCGCTCCCCGATCACTCCAGTCCTTGCGAGACTGCACTGGCTGTCCCAGTGAGAATTGATTTCAAGATCCTCACCCTTGTATTCAAGTCCCTCCACTCCTCTGCACCCCTCTTCCTCTCTGACCTCTCTCCTCAAAACAGTACCCTTTGTCTTTGTTCTTCCGGGTCTGGCCTCCTAGTTCCCCGAGTCCTCTCCACCCCCAGCGGCCGTGCCTTCAGCCACTATGACCCGAGGCTCTGGAACTCCCTTCCTCACTCTCTTTGCCTCGCTCCCTCCCTTCCTATTTTCAGGTCTCAGCTGAAGACCTTTCTTTTCGACTACGCCTTTGGTCACCTTCCCCCCCCCCCCCCCCCCCGACTCGGTCCCGGGATCCATTACTGTGAAGCGCTCTGAAACGTCGTCCAGCGTGGAGGACGCTATTTAAATCCAAGTTGCTGTTGTTGAGATATTTAGAAGATTGCTGGATAGATACACTACTAAGGTTTTACAACAACAACTTGCATTCACATAGTACCCTTCACATAGAGTAATGTCTCTGAGCACTTTAGAGTGACTGGGTTCGACACCTAGCGGAGGCGGGGGGAAGGAGGAAGTGGTAATGATAATAATAATAATCCTTGCATTTGATAAAGCGCTTTTCACATCTTCTGGACATCTCAAAGCGCATCACAGAATAGACTGTAAAGTGAATTGACCATATATTTGTGGGAGAAACACAGCAGCCAATTGCGCACAGCAGTATCCCACAAACAATAGTGATGGGCTTGAGGACAGACAAGAGGGTGAGGGGGAGGCAGCTCTAGAGATTTGAGTAGGAAAAGCTAAAGGCTTGGCCACTAATACTGGAGCAGAGAGGGTGAGCGATGCACAGCATACCTCAGATGGCTGAGTGGGGAAATAGGGAAGGAGAAGATTGCAGATATAAGGATGCCCTAGGGTGCGGATGGATTTGTAGGTGAGCGTGAGAACTCTGGAAATCAAATGGGATTGAAGATTGCCATGATCTAATAGAGTGAAATGAGTTGAGTGGTCTCCTCCCACATCATTGTTCTTCCTTATTTTACTAATGAAAATTGTTTGGTGCTATAATGATTAGAATTTTGTATTTTATCTTTTGGAAGTTCAAGTGAAGCCTAAACTGATGAGGAAAGTCTGTTGTTTTCAGCTGTTTTTAGTGCAGGAGCGAGCACTGGCACAGTGGCGAAAGCGCAGGAAATGGTATTAGAGAAGAGAACTCCAGTGGGGAGTGAGCACTGGCACAGACACAATGGGGAGAGGGCAAGGTATTGGGATTAGAGTAGAGAGCACCAGACACAGTAGGCCAGATGACCACCTTGTGTGCTATAAACACTCAGATTCTCTCTTTCTCTCTCTCTCGCTCACGCTCTCCTAGTCTTACCAGGCTCCTAATAACAGGACTCAAACAGAACAGGTCAATGACCTCTTTGAGCAGTTGTCAGAAGAAGTGGCCATTGACTATAAATACAGCACTGGTTCCAGGGTTGAAGGTAAGATTTGTACAAGAGATTTCTCCTTAACTTGGCCTTGAAGGTTTTGTATATTAAGGCAGTGATTTAGAAAAGAAGTGTAACTTATTGTATCCTTTTAGAAATGTTCCTGAGCACGGAATATTTAATTGTAATTGTTCCTCTTGTTGCTGTGTCAGTCTGGCTCAGTTGGGAACGCTCTTGCCTTGGGGTCAGGATGTTGTGGATTCCACCTTCTGAACCAGAGGCGGGTGGGACTGAGCTCACTGTCTAGAATCACACTCCAGTGCAGTGCTAGGAAACAAGTTTCTCCTGCTGTCCTGGCCAACAACTTCCTCAAATAAAATTGATTATTTGCTTCATAGCTATTGGTGGAATCTTGCTGTGTGCAAATTCACTGTCACAATCACCTACAGATACACTATACTTGACATTTCCCTGTGTAGACGTCCCACAAGTTCTACATCGAACCAAACACAGGGATTATATATATGTGTATATAATAGCACCATATCATGTTGTTGAAATGCCAAAACACTGGATTTTTAAAGTGTAGTGACTGTGTAGTGATTGGCGCAGCAGCCAATTCGCACACAGCAATGTCCCACAAACAGCTATGAAGTGAATGGCCAATTTTTTTTTCTGGAGGATTGTTGTCCTGGATAGTGGGAGGAACTCTTTTCGAATTGTCCCATTGGATTTTCAGTGTCCACGTGAATAGGCAAACGGACCTTGGTTTATCGTCTCATCCAAAGGATGGCAGCATCTCTGACAATGCAGTGCATCCGCAGCAATACACTGGAATGTTAGTCTGGACAATGAGCTCATCTTGAAGAGCTTGGATCCATATCTAGTTTGTGAATATGACTGGATTTCTGCCCTGTGCTGAATGATTAAACTTGACAATAATTAACTTGCGAATGGGTGGGGATGGAATGACTTCGAAACTTGCTGTGAATCGGTCTCAGGTGAATCTCTTTGTGTGTCAGGCACCGCCGGTGCATTGAATGACCTGAATAAAGGAATCGATCCTCGTCATTTCAACAGTGGTACCGATGATAACGTTGAGCGTTTTGAGGAGGAGAGGAGCAACTTGCTGGAGCAGGCGGAGGCTGAGCAGGAGAATGTCCGTCAGGAGCCGCTGTTGGCGATGGCGAAGAGGCTGGCCACGCTGAGAGGGGAGGATCCCAATGCAGGTGAGCGCATCCTGTTTCTAACACGGCACTGAGTTACACTGAGATCCAGTGCAGCAATTTAGAGAGTTATATGCATAATGACTGACCGCGTGGGTATCTTGATCTGTGATCTAATTTGAGTGTTTTTACAGTGGAACCCTCTCAGGTGTGTCAGCCTGGCTCGGTTGGTGGCACTCTGAGTCAGAAGGTTGTGGCTTCAAGCCCAGCATCGGGACTTAGAATTTATGTAGTCTAAGCTGACACTCCAATGCAGAGCTTTGGATGTGCTGCATTGTTGGATGTGCAATCCTTTGGATGAGATGTTAATCCAAGTTTGCCCGTTGAGGTGGAATGTTAAAGATCTAATGGCACTACAGTATTCAAAAAGAGAAGGGAGTCCAGTGTTTTGAATACTGTACCATCAATTGCCCAAATGTAATTGGTCATTCACTTCATGGTTGTTTGTAATACAGTGCTGCCACATTTGTCTACAAAATACTGCACTTTACAGTATATCCTGTGAAGTACTTTAAGATGTCTCTCCGATGTGAAAGATGCTATTTCAAATGTAAAAGATTATTATTACTTCCGAGTTATAAGGTTGACCCCTAATATCACTTACTGAGCTCGTGAGTGGACAGTGAGCAGCATGCCACATTGCCGGTGACCTAGAAATTGGCCAATTTTTAGTGGTTGGCCAGCTTTCTCCACTTAGGCAGCGATATCTGGTTATCGATGGTGCCTCAATCCGGAATCACTGACTGGCAACAGCACCCCATTATATAGCTGTTTGGGATCTTATGGAAACCAACTATCTCATGGCGGGGCTGTACTGTATGTACAATGGTCCCAGGTATGAATTACAAGCTAAGGTCTCATTGAGGAGGTTTGGTTTCTCCTCAAAAATAAAGGATCCTTGTTAATAATTACTAAGTGTGTGTGACTCTCTGCCTGGTTACACTGTAATTATAACCCACTGTGGCGTATTGGTTCCTTTTTAGCTTTGGTTGTAAGTTGACACAAGTGATGTGGCTACATTCATACTGATGCATTATACGTGCTGTGCATAGGGTTAAACTGGGGGAATAATGAAACCATGAGATAGGAAAGTAATGTAGTGCTTGAATTGTGTTCAGTTACTGTGGATGACTGGAAACATACCGGCCAGGAGAGCGATGAAGAAAATGAAGAACTAGCAATCCAGAGGGTTCTGAAGCAGGTAATTTCCCCAGGTGAACATTTGCTAAATATTGCAGAGCGGCTTGTGCTCCTGTCGTGAACGCTTAAGTGGAACACTGCAGAAGAAATGTCTTGGAATATATATTCCATATAATATAATGGGGTTTTGATGTTCTTTGTAAAAGTTTTCCCTGCACAGTTCAAGATCTTCCTCCCATCGATTACCTTTTTGTTGTAGAGTAAAATGAGAAGCAACGTTAAAGAGAGATTGGACATGAACCCCTAGTCCTCAGGATTTAGGTAGTAGTCCATCAGTACTGACACACATACCCACTCACACACATACCCACTCACACTCGTGGATACACAGCCCCCTGAATGACAACTGCTTTCCATTATCTTTGGATTATTAGTAAATCTGATGTTAAAAGAATAGAAAATTGTATTGATTTATATGCTATTTGCTATCTGCTGTTTGTTAAAACTGCAGTCAGCATGTCAGCTCCCAAGGCCACCATATTCCTCAAGTCCTGACAACACTGCATTTGTCTACAGGTGACTGAAGAGGCAAACCTGGATACAGTGTCTGGGTACAACATCCCTGTGGAGCAGCCCATGTCAGCCCAGCACCAGCCTGCAGGGAGGAAGGTACCGTTTGCAAAGGTAGATGTATTTTAGATGAACTAAGAAAGGAATTAGAGAACAGAAAGGAGGAAGCCATTGAGGTTTTAAAACCTGGTAGATTTTTATTACCACGGATAGTTTATTCACTGGGACAGATGAGCATGATTCTCATCTCCCTGAGGAATGTAGGTAGAGCAGATGCACAAGATCTCTGGATCGTGGCAATGGATAATGTGCTCTCCCCTGACAGCTCGTACTGGTTTTCCATTGAGCCACTTCTGGGCGTCTGGACTCTGTGCTCAGCCCACCAGTCTGGTTCTATACTGAAGTACTCTTGGAGCAAGCGACAGACTGTATTGAGTTGGGCCTATGAGAAGCCCTGCAATTTCTTCAAGGGAACATGGCCTCATGTGGTGCAGTGGGTGCCTGGAGCTGATCTGCTTCCTCCTTGGATGGGCTGCAGAAGATGGCAGGATCCCAGCCACCAAGCGTCTGGCATGCCTACAATCAGGTGCTGCAGGCGTCAAACTTACACAACGCTGATTCCGACAATGCCCACCACACCCAGCCTGTAACGCACTCCAGGGTCTTTAAGGGCCTCCACGACCTTGCCTTCTTTCTAGCTCTTTGATTTACTAACCCCATATCAACCTGTCTGCTCCCTCCGCTCAGCAGGCTCTGGCCTGCTCCATGTCCCCCGCCTGGACTGCCCCACCTTCGGTGGTTGGGCCTTCAGCTTCTCTGCCCCCACCCTTTGGAACTCCATCCCACAGTCTCTTCATCTTGTTCCCTCCCTTTAAGGCCCATCTCAAAACCTTCCTCTTCGACCACATCTTCAGCCACCCTCCTACCCCTACCCCTGCTCTCCACCTCTCCTGATCCCAACCCCATGCTCAGGTCCAAATCCCTGACTGTCCAGCACCTTGAGACGTCCTCCTGACATGAAAAGCGCTATACAAATGTAATTTATTGTTACCTATCTTAAGTTGATATCTTGTCACTGACTCGTGGACCAGTGGAGGAATGTCTCCTTATTGACTCTGAAAACCCTTCCTAATTTTGAAGATCTCTCAGGGCCCCCTCAACCTTCTCTTTTCCAGTGACAGTGGCCTGTGGGTTACTGAACATTTGTGTCTTGACTTTGCTCCTCTCCTAGTTACAAGCCCCAGCTGCGGTGCCAGTGGTCGAGGCAGCATCAGCAGATGAAGAGGAGCTCCCTTGGTGCTGTATTTGCAATAATGATGCTGTGCTGCGCTGCCATGGCTGTGATGGGGACCTGTATTGTCAACGATGCTTCAGGTCAGAGCAGTTCTGGCCAGATGAAGGTGTAGTGTCACGGTTGAAGACTTGTGCCCAGTTGATGTTTATGGGGTGGAGATGGTATCTTTCCTTGGCAAAGTTACAGCATTCTATTCACGTGGTTCCAATTCAATGCGCTGGTTCACTGCACAGCTACAATGCTGTATGTGTTTGGGTGACCAGAGTGGGGAAGAGTGCTGTTAAATGATCAATAGTTCGCATTTAGCAGGAAAAAAAGAATAACAACCAAAACTAACCAAATGCCCATGATAAATATTTGCCTAGTTTTTTCATTGTGGTTTCATTCACATAAAGTTATTAATTCAGTTGTAATCTGCTGACTATTGCGATACAGATCCACTTGTGACACATCTCACAAGAAGTGGGCACCAGGCTATTTGAAATGCTAATGTGGGCCTCTTGCACTTCCTTCAAAGAAACCAATTTGCATCTGAGTTTGAAGGCTGAATAACATGTCTCAAACACTGCTCTCTTACTTCATCTCTCCAGAGAAGGACATGACAAGTTTGATAGGAAAGAACACCGAACATCAAGCTACCGTCCACCAAACAAGAAGAAGTGAAGTACAGGAACCCGTAAACTCAGATCCTGGAATGATTGGAAGCCAAGTTTACATTCACTGCACTACAGTCGCTCTTCATTCAGTTAACAGTGGGAGTTGACCAAAGTGATGGGATTGTGTCATCTTTTAATGCCCTTTAGCCATAGATGCCAGATATTTCTGTGACTTTCTCCATAAGAGCTCCAAGATGCCTTTTAATTCTTCCCGTTTGCAGGTGGCCTTGGACGCTACAAAGCAGTAATCCCTCTGTGTGCATTTGGGTGTTTTGCCTTCATGTTTGATATATGCGTTGAACTGCACGTTGGACGAGGAGAGGTACGATATGCAGGGAATGTGTCTTTTGACGTGCTGCAGGTTCAGGAATTGTATAAGGCTTCAACTTGATCCAACTTTCTGTTAATCATAATTTGGATATCTAAGGGCTTGAGGCTTTAGCTGTGCAATGGTGTCAGTACCAATCTGTGGCAATCTTGTTGTATAAATGTTAACTTGGCGTGGTCTAATTGGAATGTAATTAATTCACTGGAATTGACATTTTTTTCCTAGTGTGAGAGGACATTAACAAATTACATTTGTATAGTGCCTTTCACATTGGGAAGACATCCCAAGACACTAAAGGCAATTATTTACAGGCTTAATGATCAAAAGGGGTTTGATTTGTAAGATGGAACTGGCCCCAAGAACCACAGAGCTTTACTTGTGTTTTTGTCCATTTTATTGTTGCCCAAATCAAGGCTATGGGTAATCAGCTCGCCAGCCTCCATTAACAGTGGAAAATGTTAACGTCTGAATAAAATGTATTAGTGATGGGGACATGAAGGCCGAGTGACGTTGTACTGAAAATCTCTGTTTTTAGGGCTGGTTCCGCATAAATGTAGTTGAGAACGTGACACAAATCATTAGTAAAAATCATTATAATCCTTGGAATAAATGATAATACTTGCATTTGATACAGCACCTGTCATGCCACAGGGATTTCTCAAAGCACTTCAGGATTTACTGTGAAGTGTAGCAACTGGTATTTTAAAGGTGAATGCGTCAGTCAACGTGTGCACAGCAATATCTGCAAACAGCAATGAAGTAAATGACCAATTTGTATCTGGGGGATTGTTGGCCAGGACACTGGAGAAACTCCTCTTTATGAATATTAAAACAAAGCCAAAGAATGAGCTTTCAGTTACACTTCGAGCTTTTTTGAGATGTTTCATCAATAACAACAAATTACATTTATATAGCACCTCTCATGTCAAGGATGTACCAAGAGATGGAGTTTAATTTTCAACAAGTTGTTACTTTTGCTGACAGTGTTGGTGATCTGCGACAGCCTTCATTAATAGTGGAAAATTGCTGGAAAGTGGGCTGAACAAATCACATTTTCCCTGACTAAGATCGAACAGACTCCTCTCAGCTGGAGTACAACTGGCGTAGTCGGTTTGATCTTAGTCAGGGAAAGGTCAGCCAGGATTCTCATTCCTGATCAGGACTTCAGCCACACTGATAGTTGTTCAGGGTGCGTGCGGTTGGGCTGGCTCTGATTCCCTCTCGGCTTCAGGTGGTTATCAACATTGATTGTCCATGTTCAGCACTGTCAGCAAAAGAAAGAACTTGCAATTATAATGTTGAAACATCTGAAAAGAGCTCTCCAGCAAAGGTAAATTGTTTTTGTAGGCAATGCGCAGTTGCTGTTTTACACACAGATGCAACAACTGACATTTTTACAAACGTCTGGAAGAATTGTAGGCCTGGACACCATAAGAAAGTCCCTCCTCTTTTCCAATACTGTTGTGGGATTATTAACATCTGGTTAAAGCCAAACTTGTTTAATATCTCATCTGAAAGACCACATCTCCAATAATGCAGCACTCCCCCAGCTTTGCACTGGGGAATCATTCCCAAGTCCTGACAGAGGGCTTGAATCTCTGAGGCAAGCGTGGCAGCTAGTGAGGGAAATGGGAAGGAAGCAGCAATAATTGGGAAAAAAGACAATGTAAAATTCTTATTTGAAATGAGTTTTAAAAGGTCTGCAGAGAGTGAGTCTCCATCCCGACTCGCAATATCCTAAGAGGTGCATTAATAACATGCAGACATCTCTACATCAAAAACTCAAATGCATTTTTCTAGTTATTTTGTACACATTAATATTTGTATCCACGCATCTTTGAACAATGTTGCAGTCAAAATACTGAGGCAGCATTTCACTATAAAACTCATAAATCCCAAGCTCACTCCTCATTTCAGAAGTCATGTATATTATAGTTGATTCATTACTGAGACTTATAAGTGTCTTTAATAGTGTGGGGAAGTTAACTCGGTTATACACAATATCTGAACCCAGGATAAAGTCAAAGTCTGAAGGGAACATACTTTCCTCAGTGTCCCACTTAAAGGCAGTGATGGTCGCACGATGTGCCAAGTAGGTGGGGATGTTCACAGAAACATTGTGCTGCATTTGCTTCAAAACGCTAGGTCGGTCTGTCATGGTCACTTCTCCACCTGACAAGAAAAATAATTTATGAAACCATCTTGTTTGTATGTACGGTGTCTTCTCATTGGAACAATCTGATACTGCATTGTACTCATAAAGTACAATTTTCTATCGCACAAGGATAAGTACCGTTGTTCCAGACCTCGGTAAATAATCCTTACAATTTATCTAGCGCCTTATCAAGTTGTCAAAACATCACAAAGCACTGAAGAGAATTTTACTGTTAAGTGCAGGTGTAGGTGAACACAGCAGCCAGTTTGCACACAACAATGTCCCATAAACAGACATGAAGTGAATGACCAATTTTATCTAGAGGATTGTTGAGGAAGGCACTCCTTCGAAAGAGCCATTGGGATCTTTAATGCTAATGAACAGACCTAGGTTTAATGTGACGAATGGCACCTACAACAGTGCAGTGCTCCCACAGAGTATCAGCCCAAATCTTTCAAGATCAGTAAGTCAGTAATCCACACCTGCAGGAGCCGTGGATAATATAATCCCACAAGAGGCCTAAAATTTCACCTTTATAAGAACATTAGAATTTGCTTGGCAAAAGAAGACAAAGGTCCATATAATTCTTCTTCCACCATCCTGGCAGTCACCTGACATGGCGTGTCTCAAATTATATAAATCTTTTTGTAAATATAGTATTTATAAGAATGTGACTCACCAAACAGAACTGCCAGTATTCCCACAATTCCAGTGCCTGAACACAGTTCAATCACCTTCTTCCCAAAGAAACTTATATCCATCTTCTCAAAGTACTCGCAAAGAAGAACATCCTAAAACAAATTAAGGATTTTGTATTAGAATTCTTTCAGAAGTATGAATCACTGGATATGGACATAATAATTCTGCCATTTGAGGGAGTAGATAGGGATAAACTATTTCCGCTGGTAAGTGGGTCAGTAACCAGAGGATACAAATTTGAGATAATTGGCAAAAGAATCAGGGGATAAGAGGAGAATTTTTTTTTACCCAGAGGATGCACTGCCGAAAAGGGTGGTGGAAGCAGATTTGACAATAACTTCCATAGATACTTAAAAAGAAAAAAACGTTGCAGGGATATGGGGTAGGAATGGGGGAGTGGGACTAGTTGATGGCTCTTTCAAAGACTCAATGGGCCGAATGAATTGATGCAGCACCTTAGCACGTTGTCAAAACCTCTCAAAGTGCTTCAAAAGATTTGCTGTAAAATGCAGAGACAGGATTTCTAGGTGAACTCCGCAGCCAATTTGCTCACAGTAAAGTTGCACAAACCACTAGGAAGTGAATAATAATAATCCTTGCATTTTATATAGCGCCTTATCATGTTTTCTAGATCTTTCAAAGCGCTTCACAGAATATACTGTAAAGTGAATTGACTGTATATTTTGTGGGCAACATGCGGCAGCCAATTGTGCACAGAAGTGTCCCACAGACAGTCTTGGATTGAATGACGAAAAGATTTTTGTAAAAGAAATTATTACCCCGAAAAGCAATCCACCAATCGACTAACAGCTTACTTACATAGGTAAACAGATGCGTGTAGAGTTAGGAAACTTACCCTACGTTTCGTCCTGCCGTGAATCGAACCCTCGTATGCTCTAACCACTGAGCTACAGGACTGCTCGAATGACTAGTGTAGGTGTGAACACACACTCCCACCCACCCCAAAAAAGCCTGGAAATAAATTTATATAATCATAGTCTTACGGCACAGAAGAAACGTGCTGGCAATTTGAAAGAGTTATCCAGCTAGTCCCACTCCCCCGATCTTACCTCATAACCCTGCAAATGTTTTCTTTTCTTATCCAATTCCCTTTTGAAAGCTATTATTGAATCTGCTTCCACCAGCCTTTCAGACAATGTTTTCCAGATCATAACAACTCTCTGGCTAAAAAGATTTCTCCTCAGCTCCTCTCTGGGTTTTTTTTGCCAATTATCTTAAATCTGTGTCTTCTGGTTACTGATCCACCCACCAGAGAAAACAGTTTCTATCTATCTCTGCATCAAAACCACTCATAATTTTGAACACTTTCTATTAAATCTCCCCTCAAGCTCTTCAATCTTGTAGTCCTTCATTCCTGGTATCATTTTTCTAAATCTCCTCTGCACTCCGAGGCCATGACATCCTTCCTGAAGTGCGGTGCCCAGAATTGGACCCAGTACTCCAGCTAAGGCCAAACCAGCAATCTGTAAAGAAGCAAAATTCAATGTTTCTATTGTATATCGGGCACTTACAGCATCCCACACGACTGCAGATGTGTGGAAATCTATGTCTGAGGTCTGAGTGATCTTCAGATTGTAGCCGGCAAAGGTGTACTGCTTCTCCAACACAAAACGCTCTGGGTAAACACCACTGGCCCTTGTATTTTTCGTATGGGATTTCACTGATAATTTCCGTTTCAACTTCTCGTGTTCTGTGGCCGATGATCTTCGATCTCCCATTGGATTCCTTTCAGATCAAACACACAACGTGAATCCCTGGGGATCTCAGTCCCCTTGTCTCTTTCTTAGTTAATGCAATATCTCAAGATTTTGATCTAGAAATTTGAGAAATTGTATTTCTCCTGTCTTTTGATGAAAGGCTCCCCAAGCTATCACAGATCGTTTTAAATCATTTATAATTAAATTTAAAGGCACTAATTTACATCGGCGCTTAACATTACAACGATTCTTGCTCTCAAGCAACGTTAACGATGTATAACTCTGCACAACCACTCCCGCGAATCAAGTAGCGAACTTTGTTTGGTTCAGAGAAACCCAAACTGGTTAAAACATAGAAGAATGTTTACTTTTCGGCAGATGTCACAGTTTCAAGGTTGGTAATGAAAAAATGTAAGTGTGTTTCAATCCTGTTCAATGTCAAGTGGCAGGAAAGTGTGCGCAAAGCAGCTTGTGAGGTCCTTGACACAACAAACATGGAAGAAAGGAAACAAAGAGAAGATACAAGACAACTGGGCAAGAGGTCAGAAGCCAGCTCAGGATGAATGGTCAACAAAGATTGTGTTGAGGATTACGAGTTACCAGAGATGTCAAAGCAATTTTATTCTCTTGCACCCATGTTGAGCCAAATTGAGATTAGGACAAGCAGTTGCCATTAGAAATGATTCTAGCCATGCCGATATTCTGGTGTATTTGAGCCCCACAGGATAACTACCACAACATAATATTTGATACTTTCAGTCTATACTTTTTTATTACACAGAATTACATAGAATATACAGCACAGAAATGGATGCATTTGGCCCAACTGTTTATGCTCCACATAAACCTCCTCCTGCCCTTTCTCAACTAAGCCTATCAGCATAACCTTCTATTCCTTTCTCCCTCATGTACTTATCTAGCTTCCCCTTAAATGCATCTGTGCTATTCGCCTCAATTCCTCGTGGTAGCAAGTTCCACATTCCCACCACTCTCTGGGTAAAGAAGTTTCTTCTGACTTCCTTATTTGATTTATTGGTGACTATTTTATATTTATGGCACTGGTTTGGGTTTCCCCCCACAAGTGGAAACATCTCTATGTTTATCCTATCAAATCCTTTCATAATTTTAAATGCTTAATTAATAATGAATTAATAATTAATACTTTATTCTATTAATGTTTTAACGTTCTACCCATTGGTATATTCCTCTGCTCCTGGTCTCCAGAAACCTTCTGCTGGAGTGATGTTTGCCCTTTGTAACCTGCCTAAATGGCCTTTGTTCATGTATCTTAGCAGGGAGTGCCATCAGACTATTCACCGAGGGACAACAGTCAAGGCTGACCACTTCTCCCTTGGCTGCCAAACACATGCCCTGCCTGTAGAGGGTGCTGAGGAAACACCAGGAAGAGAAAACCCATTGGATTTGATTCTCCTCACCCAAGAGAAGACTGGACACTGTCTTTAGGGACTGCGCTGAGAAGGGGCGTGAGGGCACTTTGGTCATGCTCATCCCTCTGTTCTAGGACAGCAAGGTCCCATTGCAGGTCAAGCTTGCGGCATACCGCACATGTGTGTACAAACAGTCCTCCTTTATGGATCTGAGCTCCTGAGGATGCAGCGGAGAGATTTCCTCTGACCAATCTGCCAGTTGCATCTATCCACTACATCACTGGAACAGCCCTTATTTCAATTTGTTTGAATTCAAATCCTGATCAGATGTTTATCCAGTTGTTATTGTGAAAGCTAGCCATACAACTTTATTGTTTTAATCGGGAAGCCCACCTCATACTTCCAGCACTTAATTCCCCAGCCTAACTGATCTTTGTCAGTCTTTTCCCCCTAATTTGTGCCATAACGAGGCTGGAGTGCTAACCACTAATAATACTTCTACTACTAATAATCCTTGCATTTGATATAATGCCTCATCAAGTCTTTGAGACGTCTCAAAGGTCTTCACAGAATTAACTGTATATTTTGTGGGAGAAACACAGCAGCCAATTGCGCACAGCCGTGTCTCACGAACGTAGATTGAGTGACCAATATTTTTTAAAGGGATTATTACCCCCGGAAAAGCGATCCTCCAATCGACTAACAACCAGATTCCAATCCACTGCTAGGTAGACCACTACACACAGCACTCCATGTTAATTACATTAATATCATTTTCAAAGTATGTTGGCCAAACTGCACCATACATTCCAAATGTGTGCATACACCAGTGAAATATGCAAGCTTAGAATAATATGTTTGTACTGATCAGTAGTTAATATTCTTGGAATGTATCCTAGGATGTGATTAGCTTTTTACATGGTGTGAGAGCGATACAATACTGGATCAAGTACACCAACTGCAGCAACTACAAGTCAACTCTGAGAGAACTTCCTGTTACATGAGAGATATTGGTTTCTGGGACAGAGGAGAATTTGAGCCTCCAGAACAGATAAAGCATTTCATTTCAATGTGAGTGAAGAAACAATTAATCTTTGTAGGTTTGTCACTTATTATTATTTTTCTTCCCTGGCGTAATATATGTCCTAACTGTATCTAGGTCACTGACTGTTCAATGAAAATATTACATTGAAAAGTAACCCAGAATAGGACTATTCAAGGACTATTTTTTTCCCTCTCAGCACAATGTTTTCCCTCAATATATTTTTGGATGTGTTTTCACTTCTACTGGCGAAGAGTTTATGACCCTCTCAACAACCTATGTGGGATCTTAGCAGATGCTGAACTTGACCTTCTTTGCACCTTGCAGCAATAGCCACTGACCATCAATCAAAAACAAGGACCCTGGTTGATTTTCCCCCTTCCTCACTGAGGGGTATTAAGGTGAATTTACCTCCCCAACTACTGCACTGGCCGGGGTAAGCTCAATTGGCACAGTGAAGGATTCAAATCTCCACCTTTCCATTCTGTATGGGCCAATGGTCCACTGGATAGTAACTTTACCAGCACCTATATCCACTAGCTATTTTCCAGGAACATTATCAATGAAGATATATCCCCATTGTGTGATTGACTCAAGACCACGTGAGAAGTGTGAGTGAAGAAGGCTCTTTAGCCCTTTTGGAAATACAACACCATCAACTTACACCCTCCACGCAGGGTAGTGTCTCAGAGCGCATAACAGTGACGGAGTCTGATTCTGAGGCGGGCAGTGGGGGGTTGTGGATGGGAAGGTGGCCATAGAAGAAGGTTTCAGCCGGGACTTGAAAAAGGGGAGAGGGAGGGCAAGCCAGAGGGATTGAGGGAGAGCGTACCACAGTAGCTGAAAGTGCGACTCCAATGGTGGGGCGGAGGATGCGAGGGATGAGCAGGCGGCAGGTGGTGGATTGGAGAGTGAGGCAGTGGGAGAGGTAGGGAGGTGCCAGGGAGTGCAGGATTTGAACACAAGAGTGAGGATATTGATGACGATCTGTTCGGTGATGGGGAGCCAGTGGAGCCTGGGCCAGAACTGGTGAGATGTGGGTACGGAGTTTGGTCCGGGTTTGTGGGCGGCAGAGTTCTGAATGATTTGGATCTTTTGAATAGTGGAGTTGGGGAGACCGGCGAGGAGTGCATTTGAGTAATCCAGGCGGGAGGTGACAAACACATGCACGAGGGATTGGCTGCATTTGGGGTTAAGGTACAGTCGGAGGCGGGCAATGTAGTGGAGGTGGAAGAAGGTGGTCCTGGTCAGGGACTGGATGTGGGGTAGGAAGGACAGCTGGGGGTCGAACTGGATGCCTAGATTACGCACTGGTTCGGTGAGTCTGAGGGAGAGCCTGGGGATGTTGAGGAGCTTAGATCCAAAGGAGTGAAGACGTTGACCCATCCCACAGTCACCCTGTGACAGCATGAAGCTCTCTCCTGAATGTCCAGTGTCTTCAAACAACTTTTCTACTAACTCTTTCTTGCTATTACTTGTTCAATGTATCAAGATCTACTTCCTGGTGTCTGCACTGAAATTACCAATCACACACCTCAATATGTTTCTCTTCACAAAATTACGAGAGGTTTGGACGAAGAAGGAACTTCAACCCATTTGGTCTCATCCTTCCACAAGACCCACCCTATCATCCACCCAGAACAACACCAATCTGCAATAAATTATCACGAAGGGTGGTTGAGGCTAGGCTGCTGCACTTTTTAAATGAATCTTGATAACTTATTCCAGTTGTTAATTACCTTCTCGATGAACAACAAGAAGTTACATTTATTTAGCACTTTTCACATCGGAAGGACGACTCAAGGCACTGGAAAGAAATATATCTGTTCTGAAATTGCTCTCTGCAACTCTAAACTTGTACCTTGTTCTGTTGTCTCAGCATATCCAAGAGTATTAATCCTTGCATCTGTTCACTCGTTCCACAACTGTTTGTGGGACACTGCTGTGCGCAATTAGCTGCTGCATTTCGCCCATAAAATATAGTCAATTCACTTTGCAGTATATTCTGCGAAGCACTTTGAAAAGCAAGGATTATTATTATTATTATTGTCTTCAAGAGGCTGGGAAGGCTACTTCTGATGAATTTACCAGAGCACTCTACAGCTTAAGCACTGACTTCTGGGAATCTGAATTCAATTGATTTCACAGAAGAGCCCAGAACCATTTTGATATCTGAAACATTTATTATCAGCTAAGGTCACATTGTGGTAAAATGATTCAGTAATTGTACCTGTTGCAGAAATTCTCTTCACTTGGTAATCCAGCAGTGTTTTGTGAACTTCCTGCATGTTTGTATCTAATCTTATTTTTGCTGGTCGAGTCTTTCTTCATTTGGCCTTTCAGTTTCGAACTATTCATGCCGTTTTTCCAATGCGTTAGCATATCCCAGTCCTTCACAATGACTACTTTTATACATGACCTCATCCTGAGAATATTCTACAATACTCTGAACCTGATATGACTGTTCCCTTATGTAACTATTGTGGATGTTTGCTGACAATGAACAAGATTGTAGAAATTAGTATACAAACTGACTATTATCTCAGAAATTTCAACAAGCATCACAAGGGCCAGAGATTGTAGCGAGAGCTCAGGGTCGCAGGAGTTGGCAGAGTTGGGTAAGAGACATGCTGGAAGAGTGCTGCATTGTCGGAGGTTCTGGCGTTTGGCTGAGACATTAATCTGAAGTCCTGTCTGCCTGTACAGGTTAGAAATCACATGACACTATTTAAGAAAAGAAGAGAGTTTCTCCTGATGTCCTGACCGACAACGTCTTCACTCCTGCGGATCTAATAAAAAATTGGCATTCACATCATAATTATTTGTGGGACACTGCAAATCCTCTGCCACATTTGCCCAAATATACAACTACCGTAGTATAAAATTCTGAAGAGCTTTGAGATATTTTGTGATAAGAGAAAAAGGATTACGTGTGGCTTTACTTAAGCAATTAGTGACAAAGGGACACAGTCTCGGGATGATTGAAGTAAAATGAGGAAGAGATTAGAAGGAAGTTCTTTACTCAGTGGCATTCAGGATTTGATATGTATCACCTCTATGGTATGGTGTAGTATTACCTCTAGTGGTGATTGAGGCTGGATCAATGAATTGTTGAAAAGGGAATTAGCTATGTATCTGAGCAGTAAACATTAGACAATATTGGAGGGACAGTTGGGATGTATCATTAATAAAAAAGTTATTTAGAAAAAAATATTATTTTTCTTCTGGTATAAATTGTGGATTAGTAAATATATAAACACAGAGTGTAGTTGGTAATACAAGGTCCAAATTAAATGACATGGTAGGGAGAGAAATTTCACCTGGATCTAGATATACTCTATTTATGGAGCATTTTAAAACATGCAGTTTTTGGCACATTCATAAATACAACCATAATTTTGCAGCCAGTTATCTGTAGTTTTTCTTAAAACGCAGAAAAAGCAGCTCCAAAGTCAAGACTGAATTCAACAATTGGCCAAATTCTTTATACTCTGAAATGCTATACAAATAGAGCAGAGCTTGACTGAGCTGCAATGTCTCTCCACACAACAGCAACTGGTCATATCTGAAATTAAAGGGAGTAAAAAGGAAGTGGGTAGAAATAGGGGGGGGGGGGGTGTGAGTTGTCGGGGATTAATACCTTGAATTATATGATCTCCTTCAGATGCATGTGAATCACAGCTGAGATTTTCCACTGGACCCATTTTTTGGCAGTTTTAGACTAAATATTACAGGGCCCAGTCACTTTTCATTTAGACTGAAATGCAATTTTGTCTGTTAAACCGAGCTGTTTCAACAGCAGTGAGGATGGAGGGGAGGAGAGGCAGGGAACAAGCACATATTCGAGTCAGAATTGAACCCTCTTGTGGATTGAAACCGAACTATTTCTCAAGCAGCACAATGGAAAACTATTGGGATGAATTAAACCAAGGAAACGGATCCACAGTCTCTTTATATATCCTCAGTGACATAAGCGACCACCCACTAGGGTTATAGGTAAGCGCTCTGAGACCCATCTAGCGTGAAGGGCGCTATATAAATGAAAGTTGTTGTTGTTATCAGGAGGCAAGTGGGAAGAGTCCCTGCTCCCAGCGACTGATCTGACCCTCCAGGACTTGCAGTGAGCCAGGCTGGGCTGTGCTGGCATCACGGTGTCCTGGAGAAACATAGAAACAAGAGTAGGCTACTCAGCCCCTTGAGCCTGTTCCATCATTTTATAAGATCATGGCTGATCTGTACTTCAAGTCCAGTTACCCGCCCCTTACCCCATATCCCTTAATACCCTGACCTAACAAATAGCTATCTGCCTCCATCTCGAAAATGTGAATGGAGACCTGGAGACCCGCCTGGCTCAGGCTCCAGGGCCAGACTCAGGCTCAGGCTCCAGGGCCAGACTGAGAGGCGCGACTGTGAGAAGATTGATGACTCCGCCCAGCAGAGGGCACTTGGCTCAGCTCCGCCCACCCAAGACTTGCTTATTGGTCAGTCATTGGTTACATGGAGATCCTGTGGGATTGGGTCCAGGTAAAGCTGTCTGTGCTGTTGGCTCTGGGCAGTGAGTGTGTCGAGTGTACGTGGCTGTACTGAGGACAGGGACGTGACCTGTGGGATTCCCACTATAGGTTTCAGTGAGTCTTACATTTGGTTTCTTGCTTCTCTGCTCCCGCTCCTCTCACTGTCTCCCGGAACTCGCTATTCGCTGTGTTCACACTGCTCTCGGAACCCAGAGCGCTCTGGGATGCTACCTTGTGTGAGGGGCGCTATATAAATTAAAGCAGCTGTTGGCCTTGCCTTGTGCTCATCCTTTGTGCCTTTTAACCACTAACCTCAGGACGCCTACATAAAAGATTCTCCATGTGGTAACCTGGATATGCTTTCCAGACTAAAGTCTTCAATGAGGTGACTATTCCAGGATCCAGGCTCCACACATGCCACCTGAGATTGGTCTGTCTGCAGATCAGCCAGCACAGGAGAGTGTTCCAGCTCCAAAGTAAGGGCCAGAGAAATCCATGGTCACTGGTCTCCCTGTCACTGACCCACCACAGGATGGAGACCAGCTGTGATTTGCTGACGATGGAGAGGTGCTTCACGTTTTGTGGGCACAATTTAACAATCACTCAGCGAACAGGCAAAGATCTCTTAGTTTCTGCTCTGGTCTGGGATGCTGTAAGTAAATCCTCACTGCTGCGTGTCTTTCTGGTGTGGGATGGTGTAAATCCTCACTGTGTGTCTGCATTAATAATAATAATATTCCTTGCATTTGATATAGTGCCTTTTCACATTGCTGAGAATGTCTGAAAGCACTTCACAGAATATAGCGTAAAGTGGATTGACTGGGTATTTTGCTGGTTAAGCATTGATTGAACATGAGAACATTAGCTTCATATCCCTAATTAATTTCCTCCTGTTATTCTTTTTGGGAAAAATACAAACTATTAAGATGGTGACAGTTACAGCAGGCACAAACAGCATTTCCCCTTGCCTACCACAGTTAACTGCTCAAATCCCAATTTCTTAAATGTTGTTCTGGGCTCAAATAGCAGTGCTGTGTGTGGTAAAGTGTCCTCTAACAACTCATTTTTTACATATGGCTCTGGAGCTGGTACCCTGAGTGCTGATGCCCTGCTCATGTATGGCTGATGTGCGTGAGTGCGAGCAGGCTGATGCTCACCTGGCTGCCATACACATGCAGAACTAGGAGAGGAGGCCACAGAGCAGTCGGGGCCAGTAAACCCATCCGATATCAACCTCCCTGACCTTGGGATGCCTGTCGTGAATTTTATTTCCCTGAGGTTTAGAACCAGGGGCTGTAACTCCATCTACTTTACCTATGGCTGCCCATGCAGAAAACAAATTCTTTCTGCCCTGGTAACTTTTTCCAGTGACAATCCTGATCTTGTGGCATCTGCTTCTCAGGTAAAGATATAATTCACTTGAAGGTGCTTTCATGATTCCGTATAAACGCTGCTGAGTGCAGCCCTGTGCGCTGCACATTGATGAAAGCTTGAAACGTGTAAGGGGACCAACCACTGAGAGCATTGTGCAGGCCTGTAGCATAGTAGTTAGAGCACTCGCCCACAAGCAAGAGGACCTGGGTGAGTTTCTTAGGCAGGGCGAAATCTTAGGCAAGTTTCCTTACTCAATTACAACAACTTGCATTTATGTAGCGCCCTCACACAGGATAATGTCCCAGAGTGCTCTGTTTACCTAGCAGTAAGGAGGAACCCGGTTGTTAGTCAATTGGAGGATCAGCTTTCCAGGGAGTAATAATCCCTTTTTTAAAAAAAAAATAATTTGGTTACTCAATCCATGACTGTTTTTGGGACACTGCTATGAGCAATGGACTAATGTGTTTTGCCACAAAATATACAGTCTTTTCATTTTCCAGTATATTCTGTTAAGTGCTTTGCGACGTCTCAAAGATGTGATAAGTTGCTATATCAAATGCAAGGCTTATTATTATGATTCCTCTCTAAACCCTCCACTGTCTCCATCGCTAACCGAGCCCACTCCCATTCTTTGCACTAATTTTAGGCTTGAAGTGCTTCGCACCACCTTTAAAAGTAGCTTTAAAGCAAATTGTGTTACTTTTCAGGGTATAGTTCTTTGCCATTACTTTGAAGAAGAGAACTTGCAATTCCATGGGAAAAGGGTGATTGAACTAGGATCGGGCACCGGAATTGTAGGAATATTAGCTGTTCTACTTGGTGAGTTCCAACCTGAAAGTCACACGTTTTAGAAACCAGAGTGGGAATAAATATGAAAGCGAGGGAACAGCTACAATGTAATGGTAAATCATCATCATCATTGAAAAATGAATTGTTTAACAATAATCCTTACATTAACTGTTCACTTCCTGCCAATGTTTTATGTCAGTACCTTTAATTCCTTTCTGAAGATTGCTATCTCTGTGCCTTAACTATTGAAAATTATTTAAATCCCAATCACTATCATTAATAATAATGATTTTAAACACTTCCTTTGTTTGGAACTATTTGAAACTTCCTACAAAGGCATATCATTTTGTAATCAGAAAAGCTGAACTGTGAAAAAGGTTATTTCAAATGATTTAATAAAGTAAACAGGTTTGAGTTTGGGGTAAATCCTCTTTTGCTTGGTTCCACTGTAACCTGCTGCCCTCCCCACCCCAACCATTTGAGCTTATCAATGTGGAGTGAGGTTTATCTCAGAAAGACGGCTTCTCTTTAGCTCACTGGCCACTGAAGTGGACCTCTCTATTGGTCTATTTCAGCCTGGAACTATCCTTACCCGAGTTGCCCTTTGCTGCAGACGATTGTGTTTATTGTTTCCTGTGTGTGTGTGTATATGAAGTGAGGTCAGATTGATCCCATCAGGAGATATATACATAGTGATGCCCTGCAATTTTTGTTTTTGAATCAGGTGGAAATGTGACCTTGACAGACCGGCCGAGTGTTTTGAAACAAATGCAACACAATGTTTCTGTGAACATTCCCTCAGAATTGGCAGCCCGTGCCACCATCAGTCCCTTCAGCTGGGGCATCGATGAACGTGACTACCCTTCAGACTATGACATTGTCCTAGGTTCGGATATTGTGTATAACCGAAGTACCTTCCCCACATTATTAAATACACTGAAATATCTCAGCAATGCAGAGACCGTCACCTACCTGTCTTCAGAAATGCGGAAAGATCTGCGAGCTGCTCAGTTTTACCTGGAGGTTCTGCCTCAGCATTTTAACTGCAACCTTGTTTACAGAAACAAGGAGAAGAATATCAACGTGTACAGAGTGACCAGAAAACCGCCAGCCCATATGGGGGGCACTTGTACAGACAAATCTGATTTATGAAATCCGAGTCTTGAGATTCAGTAGAGAGTTTCCCTGTCTGTATGTTATTTACGTCAGTTCAAATAAATATTTCCAACTTCCTGGAGTTTCTTCACCTATTGATCTTCAACAGAGGAGATTGTATTTCTCCAGTACAATTCACATCACAATACTGTAACAATAGGAACAGTGGACACAGAGCATTAAGCTTTGAGTGTGTGTGGGATTTGGAGGTGACTGTAGAGCTGGTGGTGATACAGCTCAAGTTCCAGTTATTTCTTCACTATTTTCATGACCTTGAAGTGGGAAATAGGGTGCAGTTTATCTACCTCTGAATTCCTTCCCATACTAAAAAGTAACAAAGCTGCAAGCAGTCTCTTATTAAGTAAACTAGACTTCATTTGCTGGACACTCATGGCGGAGGTTAGAATAACACACACCAGATACACAATGCTAGGTATTGAAGGACAGAAGATTGGAAGCATAGTTGGTTCAGAACAACTCAAACTTCCGCATCGCAGATACACTGCTTGCAATGGTGTGATTGTTGATTACCCATACAAGGTGTCTTTGGCTAAGGGAGGGTGCAGTGGTTCGGTGGTGAGTATCTGAGATCAACTCGGATCTTTAAGATGTTTGAAAGCAATTTGATCGTACATCAAAGTATCTGCCCAATAAAAAGACAATCCCAAGGGAAGATTAAAGAGAAGGATACCAGACCAACTGAAATTATCCTTAAATACGGCTTGAAATGCTGTTGGTCAAAAGAACATAAAAATTTGCAAGGCGGAAGAAGACCAAGGTCAATCCAGTTCGCCTTCCACCATCCTGGCAGTCATTTGACATGTCATATCCCAATCTATATACTGTATTCTGAGATATTATTTTCTAGCAGAAATCTATCTAATTTCTTCTATCTTATTCAAGGTATTCCACAGTGGGAAAGTATTTTAGATTTGGCATTCATAGCTTGAAGATTATTGAACATTTCACAGAGTATCTGAGTGTTTGTGGTGTGGTATGGGATGCTGTAAATCCAGTCACTTATGCCAATAGATTGATAGGCTAGGAGGAAGGAAATAGGTTGGAGACTATAAAGCATGCTCTGGGTTTCTGCTTGTGTCAGACTCCTGCTTGATCAATTAAAATAATCACAAGACAGGTGGTCTCCTGAGGAACAAGAAAACATTTGATTTTCAAATTACTTTACTTGACTTTGCTTGTTCCAGTGAGAGGTTGGTGTGACCCTAGATCTTCTCTCATAAGCGTTTTGAAGTGGGAGGTCAATGCCAGTACAATAGAAACACTATCTCCAGGTCCTTCCTTCTTCCTGTAGGACCGAGTCTACAAGCATTTTGCCCTCCAAAATACAGTGTGAACAAGTATTGGTATTTCATTCATCTGTAATAATATTCTCTGCATTTGCTACCACACATGTTGAAATGTGTCTCTCATTTCTTTGAAGTGTAGGAACTATGCATTTGTAAGGGGAACTCAGTAGCCAAATTTCACACAATAATGTTCCATAAATAGCTAGGAGGTGAATGAACATTTTATTTAACGTGGGGGATTGTTGGACAGGAGGACATACGGAAAAACGCCCTTTTCTTTTTGAATAGTGTCATTGGATTTTTAATGTCTACCTGAACAGACAGATGGGATCTTGGCTTAATTTTTTTTTACTGAGTGGAATGTGGAAAGCGAAACCACAACAAAATATGGCATCAAATTACACCTCAGGATACAAGCCTAACTCAAAGTCAAATGAACCTGCTCACCAAATAAACTCACATCAAAACTCAAAACAGAGCTTTGCTCTCACATTTTCACATTTTGTTTTAACCAGAAAAGTAAAGCTGGGCTCTGTGGCTGGTTTGGAGTATTATTTAGCAACACACAGTTACAGCTCGTTGAATTAACTGATACAACTTTATTTTAATCATTTTATTCTTGACCTACTTTTAGAATCTGTCACTCTTTCCACCTCGTGCAATTGGCTGGTGATGAATGATGGAACTAGGAAATAACAAGGGTTTCAATGTGGAGTGGAACAGAACCACTCTCACTCAATGCCTGAACCTGATTATCGGCGAATGGTTATATTTTTGTTACTTTATACACATTACAATTTTTACTTTCATCACGGTAAACGAGTTGGCAGTTAAAATAGGGAGGTAGCGTGTCGTGGTAAAAGCTGGAGGACATGGTATAGGGATTCATTGCGGAACAGAGATAGATAACAGTTTCTTTGTGGCTGAGATGCAGTAGTGTCTGTAAAAGAGGGATATAGGAGCTCGGGTGAAACACCAGTTCGGAACCTAATATGATATCGTAGTCCGCAGGAAAACTGTTTTGGTCTTGGCCCCAGGAAAGGGCGCTGATAGTTGAACGACGCACATCGGAAGGAGGGATGTTCGCAGCAACATTGACCTCGATTTGTGGGAGAGCATATGCTTGGTCAGTCAGAGTTACTTCACCACCTGACAAGGAGAAACAGGCGATTAGGTTTCCCTTCAACAACTCAACCCTTGCACTCAGGCAAAGGTGGAATGTGGATGTGGAAATTAACACTTCTGTTCAAATTAATGCTGAAACACAATCTCAATACACAACAGGCTGGTGTACTAACATAACTTACTCTGTGAAGTGAATACCGAGTTGGTGCAGGTTGAGGTGACAGAATAACAGTACAAGTTATATTTTGCTCTACTCAAAAGCCTGGAAAATGGATCCTTTTTATGACGGGAATTAGAGTTCAACCATCTGTCCGTTTGATTGATCTATTAAGTGTCTGTTAAGGACATTCGAAGAAATGAAACAAAAATGAAATTGGGAAATGTGCCCTATTCTGTGCTCTCTGTTTATCCCTCTGGTTTGAACTTACCGAGCAGTGCTGCTAATATTCCCACAAGTCCAGTGCCTGAGCCCAATTCAATCACTTTCTTCCCTGAGAAACGTATAGCTTCTTTTTCAAAGTAGTTGCACAGAACAACACCCTGGAAATCACAGCATATACACAATAATGGTTATTTTAGGTGTTGCGCAGGATCATGAACCTGTCTTTAGGAGGGCGTGGGTCACACACAGAAAACAAAACTTGGACAGCAGTTTTAATAAAAAAANGATTTATTTTGAAAAGGAATCTCTGTCTTTATACATCCGTCTTCTCCAGACTTCCCTCACTTCTCACGAGCCCCAGTTTTAGATTGGTGCTGAATTATCACTTGAAAAAAAATTTCAACACTTAATCCATGACTGGGACACTGCTGTCACAATTGGCTTCCGCGTTTCGCCCGCAAAACGTACAGTCAATTCACTTTACAATATATTCGATGAAGCGCTTTGAGACGTCTTGAAGACGTGATAAGGCTTTATATTAAATACAAGGATTATTATTATTATTATTTGCTTAGGGCTGGAATTCCAATTCAGCCCTTGTTAGCTCCCTTCAGTATAACACCTTTTACTGAGTTACACATGAAAAAAAAATACGCTCCTTACAATTATGAGGAATTTTGATGAAATGGGAAAAAATATTCCCACTGTTGTGTGAGTCACGACCAGCAGCATCATGTTAATGGCTGGTTACAAATAAATGAAATTTTTGAGCTTTGATTTTTCACATAGTTTCACATTAACAATAGTTTAACAATATCTTCACTTACAGCATTCCAGATGATCCCGGACACACCTTGTGACGAGTCAAATGTTATAGCAATCTTCAAATTGTGTCCACAAAGTCTGATGCAGATCACCTTGTTGGGGGGCAGGACGTCTGGGCTGAAAGGTTGAGTGATTTTCTCTTCTTCTTTCATTGTTGTCATCTTCTCTGAATGAACTCTTCGTCTGAAATCACACTGACTCCGATTGATCCTCTAATTTCGAATCAGCTTCTATTCCTTCTCTACTGGATCCTGATGTAGTTCTGTTGAAATTTCAGATGAGGTTGTTGTCTTCTCAATAAAAAAGAGATTTTAAATTCTTGTTTAAAACTATGAGAATAGTTAAGCAATTACCTCTCCCCTTGGGGAGTAAAACAATGCAGTAAATTAATAATGAGTGATTCCTGAATAATAATAATAATTCTTGCATTTGATATAGCACCTTATCACATCTTTGAGATGTCTCAAAGAGCTTCACCGAATATTCTGAAAAGTGAATTGGCTGTATATTTTGTGCATATGTTCTGTCACTACAACGATCAACTTGCTGAAGAAAATTGTTCAGTTTATTGGAACAAGCAAAAGATCTTAGGATCAGCAATACTATCTAAAGAGCAACTCCTTCTTAACCCCACTCCACCCCTCCCCCCCCCACCCCCAACCATAACAGGAGAAAATACCTTTCACATTTGAGGTAAAACAAATATAGTTTAACAATGCAGTTTAACAATATGTTGGGTAAGTTTCCTTACTCCATGTGCCTCTGTTTACCTCTGGTTACCTAGCAGTAAGTAGGAACCAGATTTATTTTCCAGGAGTAATAATCCCTTCAAAACAATAATAATAATAATAATTTGGTCAATCAATCGACAACTGTTTGTGGGACATTGCTGCTGGACAATTGGCTGCTGTGTTTCGAGGCAGCCAACAAGGAGAAATAGTGAACAAGTGAAACCTTTCCAAAGCCCCACACTCACCTTTAAATGAGACTACGAATGTTGCTTAATTAATTCAAACAATCCCAAACAGCGAAAGCTTGGTATCCTCGTGTTTCATTTGCCCACAGAACTCCTTTCTTTAATAAATATTCACAGCAGAGCAACTGGGTGATTTGACCACACCTCTTCCAATGAGACTGTCCAACCACCATGGGTTGCCTTACGCACTCCTTCGAAACATTTCAGCTTTCTCTTCAGGACAAACATGATTCAAAGTTTTATAGAAAGGGCCACTGAATATAAGAACAAAGAGGGTAAAATTTTAACATTTGTACAAATTTTAGTTAGATTTCACTTGGAGTGCAGTGTTCATTTCTACAATAATAATAATAATTCTTGCGTTTGATATAGAGCCTTATCTTGTTGTCGAGATGTGTCAAAGTAAAATATACAATAAAATGGGTTGACAGTTAGAATATACAGTAAAGTTGTGGGTGAAACACAGCAGTCAATTGTGCACAGCAGTGTCCCACAAATAGTTGTGGATTTATTTTTGAGACTTAATTATAGAAAATACTTGGCCATTTTTTGATTTTGGTCAACCGGGAGTCTGACACAGACGGAAACCCATCACCGTGTTTGATTATCCGAACTAGACTGAAAGTTCCACTTGTATCCACCCCTGATCCATGACCAGTTCCCTGTGTCTGGAATCAAATGCATCTGCTGTATTTGTAGAGCAAGGTACATGATTACTTCTCAGTCGTCAGACTGTAACTTGGGCAGTGACAAGAAATGAACCTTGAAAACCTCCAACAAAATATAATCTCGTTCAACACATGCTGATTACAGAGGGGTCTCTTTGGAGCTGAACTGGAAATTGAGCCAGGCCTCTGGAACATTCTCGGTAGTCTGGTTTCTGAGCCAGGCGGGTCCGCAGTATTCCAGGGAACTATTGATGACCAAATAGCTGGCTATTCGGCAGGACCTGGAAGGGCAAACCAGTCACTGGGGCAGGGAGTCATCTCACTCAGCTCCTGTTAAAACTGCAAGCCAAAGCCCCAAGGGTAGGGTGGTTCCTAGCTCGCCAACCAGCGGGAAAGCTTCCCAGACAACAATATCAATGGCAAGCTACGCAGTTTTAGCTGCTTAGACTCCAGCAGTTACCCCAACACACATTCTGGGGTCCCCAAGCCTTGGTTTTTGTCAACTGCGCGTAATACTTTTCTGGAATTAGATAAACATGATACTTCCCTCCATCAGAGAGAGAGAGTACATTCCATTCCAACAATCTATCTCTGGGATTTCCATGTGTAGGTGGATGTATGGAATTCTCAGTTTGGTTTGGATACTCTTAAGCACGGTGATGGGTTTCTGCATGTGTCTGACCAAAAAAAATTGATCACAGAATGGGAGTCAGTGCTGGGAATGTACACTTTGTGTCTGATATCAACACTGAGTACTCTGACGTCAGACATACCAAGGTCCAAATGTACAGTAAACATCTTCCTGCACTTTCTTCATGGTGACCCTGAATTATTGTCTCCCAGAGGCACGGACTGTGTCAGGCTGACTCAGGTGGTGAGGGATCTTTACACTCCAGTGCCCGAATCAATAGGTTCCAGTGCACTCCTGGGATTGCTAAACATTGTTGGAGGTCACTTCTGAATGAGCGTGCTGTCCTGAAATTGACAGGGACGGTGTTTTAATTTTTGCTCCCTGATTTTTATTAATTTCATGTAGTGATTAGGTTTTAAAGTTGATTTACCTTCAATTAATTTTCTATTATTTCATGGGGAAGCTCGCTGGAGTCCTTCACTGTCAATACTTGTAGAGGTTGTTTATTTGGAGGACAAGCTGGTTGGTCTCTGACTGGATTTTGTGGAGCACTCGCAAGGTGATTAAACTTTCCACTTATTAAATACAGAGGAGGAAGAACTGGTGTAAGGGAAGCGCCGTTCCCACAGGGACACCAGTGATACACAAACATCAAATTACCTTTTCAGGCCAACTAGGAAATGACAATAATTGATATCAGCAATGGGTTAAGCGAAAGATTCCATGATACTGTCGGCACAGAAAAAATTATATAAAGGAAGGAAGCCATTGTGCTATTCTATCCATAAGCTATCAAGGCAGATTATTATATACAATATATATAAGATGCTGGTGTGTTTAACCTAGGTCTGTGGGGGAATGGAACCTACATCCCATTTCTTCACCCCCTCCACCAATTCACTATGTTGATAGTGCTCGAATCCACCATTCCTGTTGGTACCCAGATTCTGTCAGCTTCAGCTTCCCCACTACTGCCTTTGGTCAAGTGATGCTAACGCAAAGTGGTGACACTTCAGTCAAAGATTAGCTTGGATACAAACATTCAGGCAATGCACATCACAGCGAATAGAACTTGGAGTTCTGTAAGTACAGACCCTCTGTCCCAAACACTCGGATTTAATCAGCAGAAGAATGTAAGTTTGTCATTACTCACTTGTCCTTTAGCATCAGAGCCAGAGTGGCCACATTGTGAAATTATCCAGTTTTGTCAGTTAATGTCCTGGAACTGATTTTCAGGTTACTTTTTATTGAAGGATTAATTAAATAATTTTATGCGTTAATTAATTTACGAAAGACCAATGTTTCGCAGTTTGTCTGAACTCTAGACAAAAGTAAAACCATCGCTCAGCTAAGACAGAGGCAAGATTTGTGCCATTGACAGAGAAACGACTCCATTGTTTATAGTGAAACCTGGTTGTTTTGTGCTATGAGTTGCCTAACGATGCAATTTATTACAAATAGATTTAAAATACCTCACAATTATATTGAATTCTCACAGATTCGCCAGAATTTAGTTTTTTTTTAAACAAGGAATTTCCTAGGGTACGTTTACAGAGAATCATTGGGATGGGTTGATCCAATCACCCATTAACAAAGTGTGTGAATAAACTATCCCAGCCGCCCTCTCCCTTCTCCACTCCCTCTCACAAAGAGAACGTCCCACTTTCTCAGAGTTAGTAACTAATTTTTTTCTTGTCCTTTCTCTCAATCCAGTTAATGCTGATCGCAATCAGGTGATGTTGAAGTCTTGCAACATTTCGATCATTTAAAAGTGGATGCAACGTGCAGTTCGCACTTATTGCTGTGCTCCTGGCCTCAATGTGCAGCACACGTGGAACAACAGAGGAGCTTCACCTTGGCTGAATAATAGTGAGCATTGCACCATTCTCCTCCATATTATTTGTTGTAATAAGAGTTCATATTCTTTCCTCTCATTCACTCTCCGTGTGTTTTCTCTTGGCTGATCGGTTGCTGTGATCCGTAGTGATCATGTCCCATTTCTTTCAGCTTCTGAGTTCCTTTGCTTCTGTCCCCAAAGCCTCATGGCTTCCTCCGCCATCCTGGCTTGGACCTTCTCCAAGGAAATATGTACAGACTCTAGTTGGGCTTGATAGATAGTCTCCTTCTATTCTCAAATATTTTGATCCTCTATTTCTTCGTAGATTGGAAATTAAAGCACACATATTTGAATATAAGGGATTTTATTTATGAAATGAAAGGTTTAAAAATGAATGGTTACTGGATCAAAATGGCAATCCATTTAAGGAGCATTTGTGTATCAGCTTGGCTTAGTTAGGAGCATAGGACACCAGAGTTTGGAGGGCATCCAGTCTATCCAGCCTGTTCCTTCAATTTAGTCGATGTTGGCAAATCTTTTAACCCAAATTCTCCATAAATTTTGTCATGCCCCTTAATAAGAGGATTGGTAGCACTTTTGCCGATGGGTCAGAAGATGATGAGTTTGAGTCCTGTGTTGGGAACTTTGAGCTCATGATCCAGATTGACCATGTTATCAGACCATGGCATTGCCAAAGGTCCCCCCTTCAGAAAAGACATCAAATGGGAGTCTTGTATCCCTGACTGGGTGGACGTTAAAAAGCCCCTACATTCTGGCTGTCTAGAGGACGTTTCTGTGTGTAAATTGGCTGTCAGCAATTCTTGTGTGGCACTTTCAGACATTTCGACTTGACCAGTCACTCTATCAATCCAGGAAAAGAAGCTCCATTCTGACGTTAGGATTTTGGACCTATCTTCACCCATCAAAGGTTTATTGCAGTTTACCATTATTATTTAAAAGAAAAATAGAGGAAAATAAAATAGTTTGCAATGTTTCCTAATTGTATCTGTCATCTTGCCATTAGTCTATTTCATTCATTGATTTCATAATTCTCTCCACTCATTTTTTTTAAAAGAATATTTTCATTAAGAATATTTATCAATGCCTGATTTTCTGTCATTCATAGTTTAATTAATATTAATTGAATTAGGATTGTGTATTCTTTACTACATTTTACAGTAAATCATGTGAAGCATTTTGAGACATTTCAATAATGTGATAGGGCGACATATCAAATGCAAAGATTATATTTTTGTGTGCATGGCTATAGACTATACTTTGTGTGTTAGATTAGCTGAATGGATCAATTTAAAAATCGTCACACTCATTTTCAAATCCCTTCATGCCCTGGAACCTTCCCACCTCTCTGATCTGCTTACTCCGCAACCCACTATCCATTGCCTCCGCTCGACTGGCTCCAGCCAATCCCTCGTGCCCTCTGTTCCACCATTGGTGGCCATGCTTTCAGCCACTACACCCTGAAACTCTGGAACACTCTTCCTCTATCCCTCTGCCTTGCCCCTTCCTTCCCCATCTTCAGATTTTGTCTCAAGACCTTCCTCTTCGACCAGTGCCTTCGGTCACCTCCCCCCTCCCCAAGTTTGGTGTCGTGCTCTGCCACTGTCAAGCATTTTGTTGTTGTTGTTGGCCCAGTTGGTAGCACGTTTGCCTCTAAATCAGAAGGCTGTGCAGATGTTTGTAAATAGTGAAACAGAATAGTTTGCCTCCTTTTCACGTGTGCATTCATAATTTTTTTGAAAGAAACACGTGGACCTGGAGACACGAGGTGCCTGCTTGGAAAGAGATTTACTTGGAAATCAGAGGCCAGGACAACTCCCAGACCAGGCTCAGAGAGTGATGGCTCTCCAGCAGGATGGGAATGCCTCTCCAGAGGAGCCCAACACCACAAACACCTCCCTGGCTGCAGACGATTATTCCGATTGTGAACAACCGGAGACTTGCTTTGAGTTTAGCGGGCACCGCTTAAAGATCACTCAGCACTCTAAAACTTTGTTCGGGGTTTCTGCCTTTATATGGGATGCGGTAAGTTTGGTCAACTCTGCAAGTTCATTCATGGGAAAAGCTGAGGGAGGAAATGTGCTTCTATAGTGAACATTTCCAGAAAAAAATCATTTCCACATTTAGAAGCTGCAAGAAAAAAAGGCTCTTTATGTCCTATGTCAATGGTAATGCTCTGGCCTCTGAGTCAGAAGGTTGTGGGTTCAAGCCCCACATCGGGACTTGGAATCGCACAGGAGAGTTGACACTTCAATGCAGTGCTGGGGTGCTGTTTGATTGCCGGAGGTGATGTCCTTCAGATGAGACCTTAAACTGAAATCCCGTCTGCGTATTCAGGTGGATGTTAACGATCCCATGGCACTATGTGATAGATTCATAGAATCATACAACAACAACAACAAGATTGCATTTATAGAGCGCCTTTCACGTCGGGAGGACATCCCAAGGTGCTGTACAGTTGGGTCAGGACCCGAGCAGGGGGGAAATAGTCCAGGTGAGGGGAGGGAATGGGAGGGAGCGAGGAGGGTGTAGAGAGTCGAGAGGGGAGCTGAAGGCACGGTCAAAGAGAAAGGTCTTGAGACCGGCCTTGAAGGAGGAAAGGGAGGAGGTGGCGAAGGCACTGGGGGATAGAGTTCCAGAGCCTATGGGCTGAAAGGCTGAAGGCCCGGCCACCGATGGTAGAGCGGTTGGGGCGGGGGATACGGAGCAGACCGGAGCCAGAGGAACGGAGGGTACGGGCAGGTAAGTAGAGGGATAGTAGGTCGGAGAAGTAGGAGGGAGCAAGGCCGTGAATGGCCTTGTAGGTGAGGATGAGGATCTTGAATTCGAGAATCATAGAATTTTGCAGCACAAAAGGAGACCATTCAGCCCATTGTGCCTGTGTCAGCTCTTTGAAAGAGTTACCAAGTAATCCCACTCACCTGCTCTTACACTATAGCCCTGCAAATTTTTCCTTTTTAAGTCGCTATCTAAATCCCTTTTGAAAGCTATTATTGAATCTGCTTCCACTTCCCTTTCGGGCAGTGCATTCCAGACTGTAATATCTCTCTGGGTAAAAAAAAATATCTCCTCATCTCCCCTGTGGTTCTTTTGACAATTATCTTATATTTGTATCGTCTGGTTACCGACCCACCTGCCAGAGGAAATAGTTTCTCCCTATCTTCTCTATCAAAACCCCTCAAAATTTTGAACACCTCTATTAAATCTCCGCTCAACCTTCTCTGCTCTAAGGAGAATAATCCCATTTTCCCTAGTCTCTCCACATAACTGAAGTTCCTAATCTCTGGTTTCATTCTTGAAAAATTCCTCTCTGCACCCTCTCCAAGATCCTGAAATCCTTCCTAAAGTGTGGTGCGCAGAATTGGACACAACACTCCAGCTAACCAGTGATTTGTAAAGGTTGATGTATTGAGTATCCCACTGGGTTGGGCTGTATACAATTCCTTTTAACCAGTTTCAGAAATCTTCCATGTTGATTCCGCACTTCGAGCCGTCTGCTTTGTGAATCTGTTCTAAGCCTAATGTCTGACACTTTTTCAGGGCATTTTTCTTTGCAAGTACATTGAGAAACAGAACATGGATTTCACGGGGAAGAAGGTGATTGAACTGGGCTCTGGCACTGGACTTGTGGGCATTTTTGCAGGCCTGCTGGGTGAGTTCAATGCCCATCTGAATCTACTTTGTTGATGTTTAAAGACCAAAATGAAGCAAGGCAGGTCACAGGGATTTGTTTGTGTACAATTAATTGATAAATGCTTTTGGTAAATCTCCAAACTGTAGGCAAAATCTGTATCGCATTTTACTATGTTGACAATCTCACCACTTTTACGTACAACTAAGGTTACGCATAATGTAATCAATCACACAGTCACAAATTAGTTGGTGTTCCACATATGCATTTGGATTTATTCTATGTGGGATTTATGAAAGGTGTACCTTAAGAACCTAATAGGCATACAATTCCAACTCATCTTGACTTTATGACTATTTTGCCTTCAAATTTAAGACTGGAAGATTCTTAAACTGTAGAAGCCGAAATTCTTAAAGTATCTGTCTTGGTCAGGACCTGCTTTGTAGATCAGCCCATGACCTGGGCCTGAGAGAAACTTTCTACCTTACATCTTCCTCCTTGTTGGTCCAATGCAGCAGGAGATTCCTTTTAAGACAAAACAGAAATTAACATTGAAAATTATTTTTGTAGGTGCAAATGTGACTTTGACAGATCGCTGGCATGTCTTGGACCAAATAAAAAGCAACGTTTTTGCCAACATCCCTGCTTCAGCTCTAGATCGTTGCAAAGTCTGTGCTCTTTTGTGGGGTACAGACCACACACATTTCCCATCGGATTACGACTTCATATTTGGTTCAGATATTGTGTACAATAAAGATTTCTACACCTTGTTACCAAAGACGCTAGAGCACCTTAGTAACGCAGGAACGGAAATCTACCTTGCTTCAGCAATGAGGAGTCAGAAAATTGTTTATTTCCATGAAGTGACTCTGCCTCAGTATTTTAAGTGTGACCTTGTTTGCAATGATGAGAACAGATTGATTAGCATTTACAGATTGACCAAAAAATATACAGAGCCTGGAAAATAGTGGATAGTGTAGCGAGCCAACTTTTCCCAATTACAAAAAAAAGCTATCTTTGCTCTTGCAACGTTTTGAATTGTTTCTAAAAAAAATCTCCAATTTCTACTGCTGCTAAGGAGTTGACTTGTGTACCATTGCAAGGTCTTCCTCTGCTAACTCAGCCAAATGGTCGTTCTCCCCTATTGATTCAAGGGGCATCAAAGTTCAATCTTATTCTGTCTTCACCCAAGTCCAGGTTCACATTTTAATTTATATTTCAAGATCCTCACACTCATCTTCAAATCCCTTCATGCCCTGGCAACTCCCTACCTCTCTGACTTGCTTACTCCACAACCCACTACCCACTGCCTCCGCTCCACTGGCTCTGACCTCCTGCTTGACTCTTGTACCATCCATTCCAATATGCTCCAAAATTCTGGAATAAGACATTTGTTAGCTTGAAGAAGTAGAGAGACAGACATGTTTTCTGAAGGCCGAACCATTTCAATGGTGACAGGTTAACTTTTGCACCTGTGTCATGCACCTACTGTAATCTTTGAAACTTAAATTTGTTTTAATTTAAAGTTATGATAGACCCAGAAAATGCAGGATTTTGAAATTAGTTTCTTCACGTTGACATCGCTGTAAACCACAATTTCCATGTCTCTGGAGCGCAAAATAGTGAATTCAGACATGGCAATCAGCTCCAATTCTCCTAATTAAACACTAACAAGAACAACTTGCATTTACTTGTGTGTTTCCATTGGGTTAATTTGATCCCAGATTTCTTCAGCCATATTTTATTGAGTTTCTGGCTATTATAAGAACATAAGAAATTCTAGACGAAAAAAAGATCAAGGTCCATCTAGTTTGCCTTCCACCTTCCTGGCAGTCACATGCACATACAATAAATTACATTTGTATAGCGCCCTTCATGTTGAAAAGACATCCCAGAACTACCTATGTACTATATCCCATAATGTTATTTCCTAAAAGAAAACTATCTAATCTGTGTTTGAAGAAATCGACACTTCCTGCTTCAACCGTCACAATGGTAGCTGAGCTGTGCGTCATTCTTTGAAGACTCAGAAACAAAACTAGGCATCACTGCATAACCACAGAAAAGATCCTTCATTTCAATTACAAGTCAAAGCAGTGCAAAGAGCAGTTAACTAATACTGTTCTCCAAATGCCCCAATCACATTAACTTATAAAAGGATACAATTAAATGCAGTACTGGGGTTGTGTTGCATTGTCAGAGGTGCTATCCTTTGTTTGAGATGTTAAACTGAGCTCCTGTGCCAGTTCAGGTGGGCATTAAAGGTTCATGGCACCATTCTAAAAGTGAATGTCCTGGCAAACAATCCCCCAAGTTAAAAAATTGGTCATTCATTCCATGGCTAATTGTGGAGCATTGTTGTATGCCACTGGCTGCCGGGTTCCACCTACAAAATACACAGTCACTACACTTTTCAGTGTATCCTGTGAAGCGCTTTGAGGAGTCTCAACAATGTGTTAAGGCACATGCAGTGATTATTATTATGATATAATTACACAAGCGCTTGTCTGAGATTTGTAACAATGATTTAGAGCTTCAGACGGCTATTCTGTCACAGAGGCTTCAAAACCCGATCCTATTCTCACTCACAGACAACTGTGCCTGAGGGAGTCTCCGATGCTCTGCCCACTAACCCAGTGCAGTGAACCTCTGTACGCCTTGGACCGTGCTTTTGGGCATCTTTCACCTTCCCCTCCCACCCTCAGTCCCGGTGCCCAGCAGCCATGACAAGCTGGGCACCAGGTACCAATGGCACTCGAGGCGGGTGAACTCCTTCTGTGTAAAAAACATCCGTATTTCCACTTCAGTCTTTACCAGAACGGAGCTCTCAAATGTTTGAAATCTCTTGTAGAACACAACACAATATACATTTATACAGATTTATGTTTATATAGATTTACATACGCCTTTTACGTCTCAAAGCGCTTGTCACAGCTGCTGGGCACTCGGCCTTAGGGCAGGAATGGAAGGTGAAAGATGACCAAAAGCATGGTCAAAGGCATACAGAAGTTCATTGCTTTGGGTTAGTGGGTCTATTTATGAATCTTCTGGAACTATAAAATTGTAGGCTGACATTTGCGCACAGCAGTGTCTCACAAATATAGGTAAGAAGTGAGTGACCAATTGTATCTGGGGGATTGTTGACCTGAACAGGTTAACAGGATCTTGGTTTAATGTATCACCTGACGGACACCTCTGACAATGCAGCGCACATCGCAGCACTGAACACAGGATCCCAGCAGGAACCCACAACCTTCTGCCTCCGAGGGTGGAGTGCTACCACTGAGCCAGGCTCCACCTTTTCTCTACGTATGCATCTAATTCCTTTTAAAATGCCTCCAACTGCCTCTCCGCCAGCAGCCTCTCTTGACATTGCTGGTTGATGGATACACCCTGAATCCCATCACCATCCAAAACTAAATCAAATGACCCAGAGTTATACACAGGCATCAAAATGTCCTAATTTCTGGAGGGACTGCTACTCTCAGCTTCACCTCTGCAGTCTGTACAACCATAAGTACAGACAATTACCTTATCTCTTTCTAATACAGCAAAATGATCACCAATCTCAGATGGTAATATTTCAAATAATAAATTATTAGGAACAAAATATAATATACAGTTTAGAGTATTAAGGTTTAATGCAAAGCTGCTTCGCTTCACAAACAAAATACAAGGTCTATCCACTTAAACTACATCAAAGTGCTGTGAGACATCTCAGCAACATGATAAGACGTGATATCAAATTATTTTGAAGGATTTGTATCATTATTGTTATTAAATGTCAGAACAAATTAAAAATATATTATTCACCAAAAAGCGTTCACGAACTTCTTGAATGTTGTTTTAAAATGTCCCTGTCCATAATTCTCTTAATCACCTTTTCTGCTCTGACAGTTATCTGCGTTAAAGCGCTCTGGGATGCTACCCCGTATGAAGGGCGCTGTATAAATGCAAGCTGTTGTTGTTATCTGAACCCTTGAACCAGCTATTTTCACGTGAAAAACATCTCCACTGTTTTTCTTCTGAAACTCGTCATCCATTTAATTGGGAAAATGGGAACACGACTTGAGACCAGAGAGACCTGTTTACAAACATGCACCATGTACCATGGGCTGCTTTCACACTTTACTGTAAATGAAACTCTGAGCTCATTCCTGATGAGACAGAGATATATAATTTTGTCTCAAAAGTCAAGTGACAACGAGGGTTTCTCTATATCATAAAACAAAATGAAATATTAACATTGTAACTCGCCATGTTAGTAATTTTTATTGCGACTGATTTATTCCAATTATTCCAATACGTGTTGTCCCACACAGGAGACGAGCCTGAGAACTGGCAGTCTTTACTGTAAACAGCAGCAGCGAGTGTGTGAAACAAATTCCCAGAACAGCCAGGTTTTTTCATTCCGAACTGAATGAATAGCTGACTGATACTGAAAACCTTAGAGATATTGACACGAGATATCGACGCGTCTTATTGACTACGTGAAATATTGCCATCTTTGCTTCATGGTTTTGTGAAACTTTGACCGGTTGGTTGAACCTTGAGAAGCAGCTGGTGAGCTGTGAGTGTCGGTGAGCAGACCGATGGCTCCCGTGCACACATGGTCAAGTCATTGCTGAGCCCAGTGGACCCGTTTGGAGTGAGTTTTATTCTTTGCACATTATACAGACACAGTTCCAGCAGTACCCTTAAGGCGTTGCACTCCACACCTCCACCAGAACCACTTTTAATCAACATACTGACCATCTATAGCATCCCAGTCCCTTTTATCTGATTGCCAACCAAACGTCTCGACTAGCATGTTGTCAAACCATCCAGGTCTCATCATCAACAGCACAGAATAGCTTACGCATCCCCTGTCCATTTGGTGACTCAATCCATGACTGTGCGTGGGACATATCTGTGCACAAGTGGCTGCTGCTTGTCACCCAAAAATATACAGTCAATTCACTTTACAGTATATTCTGTGAATATATATTATTATTATTATTATTTGCCTTCCCTACACACATTTCCTGTTTGCTGTCCCAGATGAACCCAATGCTTCACCTCCTGTTGTGGCTGAGACACTTATACACCTCACATTAAGGAAGGTTAAGGGAAGGGAGGAAACCATAGAAGGAAGAAAGCTGAAATGTTGATCTCTTCCTCCCCCCCAACATTAACATGTTGGCCTCTCGTGATATCCAGTTAGCTGTTTAGAAATACATTCTTGCGAGACTTTGTGACAATTTATAACCCGAGGACCATTGATGTGAATATCCTAGAGGAAGAGAGAGTTAGCTGCCCTGAACGGTGTGACCAGTGAACAATGAAGTAAATTTCACATTTTGTTTTACTTTCGACCAAACTCATCAAGTATTTCAATTGTGAAACAAAAACCTTGATACTTTTCCAATCCTAGATGACCTGCTTATGAACACTAGTAAGTACATTTTCTATATTGTTTTTGATTTGGATTGAGGTGGAGGTGATTGTATTTTCCATATCGTCCCATTACTATTAACACATCTGTGTGTTTTATCTGACTTATTCCCTAAATGTTCAAATGTGCTTTTCCTGACAAAGTTTGGCATCTTTTCCAGTCCAAAAGAGGCCCATGAACTACTTAGTTCATCAGTGACACAACAGAATCCGTCGCTGGAAAGAGATCTGAGGTTTTCCTGTTGTTCTGAATTCCTGTGAAGCTCAGTGAGGAGGATGGAGGACTTCACAGAAGTCCAAATCTCAGCCACAAACCCAGAGCATCATGACGGTTTGGAAGTTTGCGAGAATCTCTATCACTTCTGTGGAAATGCTTTGAAGATCAGTCGAGACAAATACCCTTCCTTTGGGTCCTATGTCTGGGAAGCTGTAAGTTCACTGCTTTGGTAAAAATGTATTATTTGAAAGGAAAAAAGAGAAATATGGCATTGCTGGTGGAGGGGGTGGGGTGGTAGGTGGGGGTGAGGCTGCAATGTTGGATTCCTTCAGGTGAGAAGTAACAATACAATACAAATTTATATTTATGCGGTGTCTTTCACATCGGGAGGAAATCCCAAATGCATTTAATAGAACTACTAGTAATCCTTGCAAAATGCTTCACAGGATACTCTGTGCTTGAAAACTAGAAAATAAGAACATAAGAACATAGGAAATAGGAGTAGGAGTAGGCCATTCGGCCCCTCTAGCCTGCCCCGCCATTCAATAAGATCTATTCTAACTGATCTATTCTAACTCTACCTGCCTTATCCCCATATCCCTTAATCCCTTTATCCACAAGAAATCTAACAATCTCAGTCTTGAATATGTTCAAGTCTGAGCATCTACAGCCCTTTGGGGTAGAGAATTCCATAAATTCACTACCCTCTGAGTGTAGAAGTTTTTCCTCAATTCAGTGCGAAAGGGCTAACCCCTAATTTTAAGACTGTGACCCCTGGTTATAGTTTCTCCAACCAGGGGAAAAAGTATCCCACTATCTATTCTGTCGTGCCCCTTAATAATCTTATAGGTTTCTATAAGATCACCTCTCATTCTTCTATATTCTAGAGAATATAGGCCTAAATTGCTCAACTTATCCTCATAACTCATCCCCCTCATCCCTGGTACCAACCTAGTGAATCTACGTTGTACCCCCTTCAAGGCAAGTACATCCTTTCTTAAATAAGGAGCCCAAAACTGCACACAATACTCTAGGTGCGGTCTCACCAGGGCCCTATACAGTTGCAGCAAGACTTCCCTACTCTTCTAACTCTTTTGTAACAAATGCCAACATGCCATTAGCCTTCCTAATTGCTTGCTGAACCTGCAAACTAACTTTTTGTGATTGGTGTACAAGGACACCCAAGTCCCTCTCAATGCTAACGCTATCTAGTCTCTCCCCTTCTAAAAAATAATCTGCTCTACTGTTTTTGCCACCTAGGTGGATGACCTCACACTTCCCTACACTATACTTCAACTGCCACCTATTTGCCCACTCACCTGCCTATCTTGTTACATTTTTTTAATGTCATCCTCGGTGTTTACTCTCCCTCCTAGTTTAGTGTCATCTGCGAATTTGGATACATTAAGTTCAATGTCCTCGTCTAAGTTATTGATGTAGATTGTAAATAGTTGAGGCCCAAGTACTGATCCTTGTGGCACTCCACTAGTCACATTCTGCCAATCTGAAAAGGACCCGTTTATCCCTACTTCTTTGTTTTCTTCCCGAAAACTCTAAATCTAACTATACTTAGAGATATAAGGATGCAAAGTCACGTATATTTTCCTGCTTGCAAGACTCTTAAAACGCTAGATTATAATACTGTGCTTTTTAAGGTTCTTCTCAATCAATCAATTCTAATGAAAGTGTGTGATGTTTTCAGGGACTTGTTCTCTGCGAGTACTTCGAGAAGGAGAAAATGTCTTTCACTGGGAAGAAGGTGATTGAACTGGGCTCGGGCACTGGCATTGTGGGCATTTTAGCCGTTCTCCTCGGTGAGTTGAAAGCTTCAAATCAACATTAAAATCCATCCTATTGAAATAGGTGTCAGCCTGGCTCAGGTGGTAGCACTCTCACCTCTGAGTCAGAAGGTTGTGGGTTCAAACCCCACGTTGAGACCTGCAGAAGTATTGGAGGTATCTGTTTAGATGGACGATAAAGTTCTTGACACAACTCTGAACGAGAAGGTAGTTTGCACTTGGGGTGCTGGCCAACATTCCTCCAGGTAAATTTAGGTATTAGCTTTCTGTGAAACTTTGTGGAACTTTTCTGCATGCACATTGGCTGCTGGGTTTGTCTACAAATACACAGTCACATCACTCAACAGTACATGTTGTGATTTAATGCCATCTTAAGACACTATATCATCTTCAAGGATTATGATTGTGCAAGAGAGAAAAAAGGCAAAACTTAAAATATAGGGAAAACATTTATATTCAATGTGGAAGAATGTTACTGTGTCAGTCAGTCATTGATGTTTAGTGTAAATAAGGAACTCTGTAATGATAATAATTGTATTTGATATACCACATTGTTAAAATCTCTCACATGATTTGCTATAGTGTTGTGATTTACTATAGTGGCTGTATTTGTAAGCGAACATGGCAGCCAGTTTGTGCAGATCAACGACCCACAAACAGCCGTGTGAGTGAACAATTGTATCTGGGAGATTGTTGATCAGGACACTGGCAGACATTTTCTCTTCCCCTTTGAAATGTTGAATGCGCCTTTGGGATGGTACAGTTAAGAATGTGTGTTTAGCACCTGAAGACTTTCCCCTTCAACTGTGCCTGGGCTCACTTCCCTTTCCCTCCAGCTCAATCGCAAACTACCCCATTGCCCAGCTCTCTGAGACTCCACCCCACGTAAAATGTGCTTTCTAAATGCACATTGGTGTTGTTGTTGTTGTTGCTGTAGCATAAAATAAGCTTGAAGGAAGGTACACTTACTGTGGTCAATAACGATTCCCAGCTCATTTACCTCAGGCTGGAGCCTGTCAGCCCCTCTGGAGTCTGGCTGGCCATTCTGTTCCTGTAAAGTTCTCTGATGTCAGTAAGTCTGACAACCGACATTAGATGTTCCTGTTCTCAAGGTTCCTCTCAAACATATTTGGAGGATTTAGTCTCTTGTTTCCTGTATCGATTGTCGGGTTGTTGATCAGACAAACCAGTTATTATTACTTTTTTTACTTTTCCTCAGGTGGAAATGTGACATTTACAGATCAAACTTTCATCCTGAAGAAGATGAAATATAATATTTCCGTCAATATCCCACCTTGGTTAACAAATCATACAAAAGTCTGTGCTCTTTCTTGGGATGACGATTTGAGTTGTTTCCCTACAGACTACGATGTGATCCTGGGATCAGACATTGTGTACTCCAGCTCCTCCTACCCCTCACTTCTTCAGACACTGCAACATCTCAGCAACCACAGTACCACCATTTACATCTCTTCTGATGTTCGGCCTGTAAATGAGTGTAATGTTTTCCATGCGGAAATGCTGCCTAAACACTTTCATTGTGAGCGTGTCCATCAAAGTGGCAATAACAGGATCCATGTGTACAAATTAACTAAGAAACAGCACACTGGAGATAAAGAGTTAGTGTGGAGTGAGGACGCCATTAACATGGGTCTTCGTAAGTCTTCTGATTGAGTCGCAACTCACTTTCTCATAACGAGTTCAAATTAAAATTTTAATATTGTTTCCTGCCTTTTGCCTCACTATAACGATATCCTGACACATGAATTAACTCACTGGCCATGAGTTCCAGTTTTCTGTGTAGGAGTGTAAGATCATAATAACAAATCTTTCCATTTAACATGGCGGGATGTCTCAATGCATTTCATAGGATTTATTGTGAAGTGTAATGACTGTATTTTGAAGGCGAGAGGAGAAACTCGTCTCTTTTTGAGTTGTACCATGGGATTTTTTAACGTTCACCTGAACAGAGAGACTGAACCTCAATTTAAGGTCCTATCCGAAGGACGGCACCTCCAACATTGCATTTATATAGCGCCTTTCACATCAGGAGGACATCTCAAACCCACACCCCAGTATGAGGAAGCTGGGGGCAGGAGCAGAGGCGTACGCTAATGGGTAGAAACATTAGAAAGAAATTGAACACATTAACAAAAAAACAGTCCTAGCATATCCAATATGTCCTCATGGTTTTATCACCTAAATCTAGAATTTGTAGCATCGTTGCTTGCGTTATTGTGTGAAAAATAGTAATTGTAAGCTCCAGGGTGCTGTTTTAGCGATCGGTTTGTAAATCATTCTAAACAAACTGCAGCTGACAATGTCTGATTCCATCAATAAATATATTTAGATTTACAGATTATTTGTTGTTTTGTGGTTAATAATAGTATCACTCGACTGTTTCTATTGAATAATAGAGTGATAAAACCAATTTGCCAAACACAAATAGAGAATAACTGTCAACAACACCACCAACAAATTGGTTCATAATAAGCTATATTTGTATGCTGAAAACAGGTCCCTGAAACATCATATCTTGTATATTTGAAACTGTTTTTCTCCTTCCGAACATTTAGAACTCACAGATCTTCCATCAAAACGTTCTAGATTTTGGTTGAACAATAAGTACAACCCAAACATGTTAAGGGCACCACCACTGAGTGGTGTTTAGCAAAGAACATTTCAACCAAATCCTAACATTAATCCTCTGAAGAAGCAACATTATTTTTAGAGAATATAATTTATTCTTTAGTGTCAGTCACCAACAGAGACATTGTAAAAATCTAGGAACATCTATATCACTACAACCTTCCTGGAACTGGTATAGTTCTTGGGCTGATTCATAACCAATGAACTTTTCAGTCCTGCAGAAATAACTATTCTGCTATCAAAATCCCAGGATTGTTCTGCTATCCCGATATCAGGAGAGACCGCCTGAGACAGAGCGGACAATCACAATTTTTAATTCCTCTCATTCGCATCCCATTATGAACACATGTGCCAATATTGTTGATTTTTTTTGTCAACCAGATGTCTGACACTTATGGAAACCCTTGACCATGCTTAATCCAAACCAAACCAAGAGTTCCATGTATCCTATACATTGAAATTCACAAGATGTTTGTTGGGATGGAATGGGCACTGCCTCCCTGGAGGGTTGCATCCTGTTTACCTAATTCCGGAGAGTATTAGGCACAGGTTGGCAGGAGCCAAGGCTTGGGGTTCTTTGGAGCTGAACTGGCCCCAAGGTGACATGCCTGGCAATGAATCGAGCCAACCCTGTGTTGCGGTCTCGGTAGTCCGGTTCCTGAATCAGGAGGGTCTGTAGTATTTCCGGGCATTGCTGATGACAGCACAGCCAGCCTGGCTCATCGGCAGAACCTGGAAGGGCAGACCAGTCACTGAGAGCAGGGAGTCATTCCACTCAGCTCCTATTAAATCTTCAATCCAAAGCCCTAACAGGTAGGGTGGTCCTAACTGGATAAGCATTGGGAAATCTTGCTGGACAGCAATATCAATGGCAAGCTTTGGGTTTTTTGCTAGTTAGAGTCTAGCAATATCCCAACGCACATTCTGGGGTCCCCAAGCCTTGGCTCTTGCCAACCTGCATCTAATGCTTTCCGGAATTGGGTAAACAGGATGCATTCTCCAGGGGAGAGAGTGTGCACTCCATTCCAACAATCTATCCCTGGTAGGTGGGATACAGAGAAATCTTGTTTTAGATGGATATTCTTAAGCATAGTGATGCATGTGTCAGACACCTGCTCCTTCTCACTCATCTGCTGCCTGGGATTTAATTCTTCCTTTCTCCATTCATCATCGAAAAGAATTACAATCCTGTTGTTCATCAACCCAAGAAACCCAGGATATGTCCTCCCTCTATCCCCCACCACCACCAAGTTTGGGCACTGGTTTGGTGAGTTTGAGAGAGTACTAAAAATATGAATAGGATGCCATTATATACACGTAGAAATTAACTCTACGTTTAACTCTGAATCAGAATTATCGCAAGAAGAAAATAGGAGGAGGTTGGATCTCTGTTACATGGATTGAAGTAAAATAGTAACCCACGTTGGGGAAAGAACAAAGAAATGGTATGAGGACAGACAGCGCCAATGGAGAAGTTAGATACAATGAAGCAAATGATCATTTGCGTTATAAGCTTTGCATCAACATGAAAAATGAACATTGTAGCCTGGGAGCTTCAAATAACCTCTCATCACAGTAACCAGTCACTCGTTGACATTATTCTTTGTTTCCTTTGTTTAATTTCCACATCAGGCAACCTTCAGCACACAGGAGAGTGGAGTGTACAATCTGTCGCACGTCACTGTGAATAACCCCAATGATGGTTGAATACAACTTTTTGTAACATTCCCCAAACGTGATTAAACTTCAATAATTGTTAGCGACTGTTGTGGGCAGCCCAGTGATTGCTATTCACTGATATAGATATAGAAATGTACATGATATCGAGTCCCTCAACAACTGAGAAAATCCCAAGTGAAAATAACACCAAACACAAGCTCAGTTATAACACTGGAGAAATTTGCAACACCGGGTTCTCAATGCACAGACTGTTAAACTTACGCTGCACGTAACTTAATGACATTGAGAAGGAACACTACATTTTGGAATATGTCCTTTAAAAACAGTGACATGCGGAGACACTGTAAGTAATGTGGGGACATTCTTATGAATATAATGTTCCTGGAAACATGATATTTATTATTATTATTATTATATTTTCAAAACAAATCATGAAACTTATTGAGAGTCCACTGGTTTCTCACTAGCACTGAGTGTCCAGTTGGAGGTAAGATTGCACTCTGCTGAAGGGATAGAATGTAGCAGCAGTCAATCCTCTTCAGTGGATTCAGTCATTCAGAGGATGAAATGCCACCCACACAGTATTCCACAGCAGTGTTAATGGTTGGTTGCCAGTCCTGGCAGCTCAGCAGTTAAAGCAGTTGAAGGGTGTCTCAAAGCGTTTCACAGAATATATTGCAAAGTGTAGTGAATGTGTATTTTGTGGGCTTAACGCAGCAGCCAATTGCGCACAGCAGTGTCCCACAACGAGTGATGGATTGAGCGACCACATTTCGTTTGAGGGAATATCACTCCCAGAAAGTGATCTGCCAATCGACTGACACCCGAGGTCCTATTTACTGCTAGGTAAACAGAGGGGTGTGGAGTAAAGAAAGTTGCCCAGGTTTCGCCCCACCTGGGAAATGATCCCGAGTCCTCTCGCTTGCAAGGCACGGGCTCTAACCACTGCGCTATGCTGCTCCAAGCTAGTTATGTTAGATATCCAGAATGTATAATTTCCAGTGTTAAGGGGAAAAGGCAGGTAAACAATCCTTGCATTTGATACATAATGCTTTATCATATCCAATCAAGATTTCTCAAAGTGCTTCACATGAACTACTGTAGAGTGTATAGTAGTGATATTTTGTAGGTCAATGCTGCAACCAATTTGCTTGCAGCAATGTCCCACAAACAACTACGAAGTGAGTGACCAATTTTATTTGGGGATTGTTGGCCAGAACAATAGGAAAAACATCCTTCACTTTTCGAATAGTTCCAAGGGAACCACAAGCCTAATCTTGGTTTCACGTCTAATCAGAAGGCCCACACCTCTGACAATGCTGCACTCCTCCAAAACTGCACTGAAATATGAGGACGATAAATTCATTCTTGCCGGTGATTGGGAGTTTAAAACCTGAGACAATGCTCAGTTGTAATTTTTGTGAAACGTATTTCAGGCTGGGGAAACAACTCAGCTGCACAATGTGTTTTGCAGAAATAATCATGGGAATAATCAATAAATTGGTTTTGACTGTGTTTTTATTTCCGACCAAGTTGCTGAACAGTTTCCCTGCCATTGTGCTGTTCCTCCTCTCTGTGTTTCACTCTTTCTGCAATCACTTTCTTGTCTAAAATCAACGTATTTCTGTCTCCCCCCACCTCCCATGCCCCCGGGTCCCTTGTGTGCTCGGACTTTCCCATTACTCTGTTGCTTCTCCAGTAACAAGTGTGATTGAGGCTTTTCTTCCATTCTGAGGCCCGATCCACAACAGCCTCGACTAACGTGGAGTCACCAATAGCTACTTATACAATCTGACAGCATCTGCTAATGGGGAGATGAGCGAGGGATTTGGCATCTGAGAGGGACTGTGTGATTTTATTCCTCCAGAACACCTTCCCTGCCATCCTTCCGACACAGTATCAAGCTGCTTTATCAAATGTGTCCAGTGTACTGTTCCCAGAAATCTGCTTCAGTTGTTAACTGCCCCTCAGATATAGAAATACCAGGAAGTCAAACAGGTTTTTACTGTATGGGATGACTTGTAGGATGGGAATCCTGGAAGTATTGAAATGGCAGTATCTGAAGGGCCCAATCCATAGCCCAAGCCTCTCTTGTGATCTTCTGATACTTGCTCCCTCTTAGAGACCCCAATACGTCCCTCCCCTACCCAGAAGTTTCATCAGATGTTTTGACAAACAGGGGTTTCATAAACTATTTAAAATCCATATTCCTTCCATTTGACACAACTTCTTATCACGTCATTAAAACATCTTCTCCCTTGCCTCCTTTGGTCATCCTCCCATTCCCATCCCCTTGTCCTCCACCCCTCTTGATTCCAACCCCAGTTTGAATGGAAATCCTTCACCGTCCAGCACCTTGGAACACCTTTCCGATATGAAAGAAGCTGTATAAATGCAATTTGTTGTTGTTGTTGTTGTTATTATCTTAAAGTACTTTTGCAAAGTGTAGTGACAATGTATTTGTCGACGATCACAGCAGCAATGTCCCACAATTGAATGATCAATTTTATCTGGGGGCTTGTTGGCTTCCTTTTCCTTGTGTATAGTTCAATGGATCTTTAACATCAACCAACAGCGCCATAAGGGATCTTGGTTTAACATCTCCTCTGAAGGACTGCAACTTAGAGAATGCAACTTGCCCTCATTATTGAAGGACACAATTTGATGCACAGACATCTTTATTCCGCTGTTTCTGGATATGCAAATATAGGCGTTGGGCGCAATGAGTTGAAATCAAAATTACAAATCTATTAGTTTTACGAATAACAAAAAGCACAGCAGCCCCTCGGTCAAACTAAGCTCCACATAAACATTTCAAAACAAATACAAAACAATACTTCAACTAAACATTATACAATAGGAAGGAAAAATATCAAGTTGCTAAGTTACGAAGTAACTGAAGTAAATCTCAGAGTCATCACAACAATAAAGCAAGCGCACAATTCCAACATTAAGTCGAAAAACCCGATGGGTTCCCCGTAAATGCAGTGGACCACGCCGATCGCACAGACTGACTGATGTAAATGTGTTGGTTGTTTTTTGGCTGCGGTTAGCGAGTTCTTCATTGTCTTCTCCTTTCTCGTATTTTATTTTTGTTTTATTTGCTCCTGGGTAACTTCATTCATTGTCATAATAATAATTCTTGTATTTGATTTCACCTTTCATATCGAGAGGACATCTCAAAGCACTTCACAGGACATAGTATAAAATTGAGGGACCATGTTTTGGGGGCCAAGGCGGCAGCGAATTTGTGCACAAACATCCGTGAAATGAATGGCCAATATTAATTTGGGGGTTAATGTCCAGGACTCTTTTTTGGACAGTGCCATGGGATTTTTAACATCTCATCCTAAGGAGGGCACCTCCATCTATACAGCACTCTCCAGCACTGCATTGGAGCATCAGCCTAGATTATATGAGTTCCAAGTTCCAACATGGGGCATGAGCCGATAACCTTCTAGCTCAGAATCAAGAGTGTTACCAATTAAACCATGGCAAGCGGGTGATCCAATTATATCACATGTAGGAACACCAAACTCAGATATAGTGAGTGAGATTCTCTTTACAGGAGAAATGGAGAGAGAAGAGGGTCATAACACAAATATGATGGCAATATGAAAAATATTCAACAAACTAATTTTGCGAAAGTGAGGCTCCATCAGGAATCCAAACAGCTACAATACAAATGATCATCGGCTTCTGCACCAACCGAGCTCATTGCATTTTTTTAGTTAACTTATATATGTTGACATTATTCTGTTTGTTTTGGTGGACAAGTTGTGAATTAAAATGCTGAGTTAAGACTTCCTCATGGTAGATTTCAGACTTGTTTAATGGTCGAATTTGGGAAGAGATGTAAATTGTGGTCCCTTGGTTGCTCAGATGTTTCAGAGTCTGCAACAACAAGGGGTAAGAGGACCTGGAGTACACAATATCCGAGCCCAGGATGATGTCATAGTCGGAAGGAAAATTGTTCTGATCTTCACCCCAATGAAGCGAACAGACTTTTGTACGATCTTTGCAGGAAGCAGGGATGTTGACGGAAATATTGTATTTTATTTGTTTCAAAACAAAAGTTTGATCTGTGAAGGTCACATTTCCACCTGGGAAAAATAAAAAGAAACCTCAATATATTTGCTCTTCTCCTGAACAGCAATCAGAGTTTGCTCAGAGGAGTTAAAAAAAAATCGGAATTTGTTAGACATGTAAATAAATCTGGAATGCACTGCCCGAATAGATGGTGGAATCAGATTCAACAGTAGTTTTCAAAAGGGACTTGGATATATATTTGAAAAGAAAAACATTTGCAACAACAACAATTTATATTTATATAGCACCCCTCATACAGGTAATGTTCCAGAGTGCTTGACACTGGTGGAGTGGGACGAGTTGGTAGCTCTTTGAAAGGCACGATGGGCCAAGGTGGCCTTCTTCAGTGCTGTAAGTTTTTATGTAAACAAGTAACCGTGATGAGCCAAGTCATTATTTGCCTAAAGTTACTGACTTTAGGGAATCTTGCAGAGAAAACAATGGTTGATCCAGGTTCAAGTATGCGTGTGAGCAAGGACTGATTATTCAAGTTAAGAGCATCATGATCCATAGATCATGAAGATGTAGAATATTTTGCTGTAGAGGCAGATTCATGAGGGATCTTTAATAGAGAGTTAGATACTTGGGTAGTAGAGGTGTTCAATAGACTAACTGACTTACCCCGGTTTTGTTTTCCTATGCACCTATTAAACATACTGAGAATGGTGCTTTGGAAAGGCTTCTATACCTCAGCTCGTTTGCATGCTAATTCCTAACTATATACCCAAGGCATTCAAATTGTGGTTTAAAAAAATTGTATGTTTTATGTGATGAGAAATGTTTAAGAAATATTTAATATATAATAATATAATAATTTAAGTATTACATCAAACACTCACAACACGATATTAGACCCAAATGTGAGGGATTATGGTAAGATTTAAATATTTCTGGTTGTTGTTGTTAAATGTTTATTATTAATTTGCTACACAATTTAGAATTTTTCATGAACGCTATATTCACATCAAAAATGAATGACTGGCACAGTAGAATCCTATATACATTCAAGTAGGCTACTTTATCTCATATTCCTGGTAAAATTACTACAACTTGCATTTACAGTATAGAGCTTCCTTTACATGTAAAGACAATGGCACTGTCACACTGAATAAGCCTTTAAACTCACCAAGGAGAACGGCTAAAATGCCCACAATGCCAGTGCCCGAGCCCAGCTCAATCACCTTCTTCCCAGCGAAAGATATCTCCTCTCTCTCGAAGTAATGGCAAAGGCCAACACCCTGAAAACATCACACATTTGCTTTGAAATGTTTTCAAAAATTTTTTTGAAGAACATGCAGATTAATGGCAAAGCACAAGTGGTCAAGGTAAGTATTTAAGTATCAGTAATATATCGCTGAGCTCAGTCTTTAAAAACTATATTCAGATCATAATCCTATATAATATTATAACATTTTCACGTTAGGAGGATGTCAAAGAGGATTTTATTGTAGATATATTGACTGTATTCTGTAGGCAATAGTAGACAATGATTGTTTTTACACAAATTCCAATAATTGCACCTATTATTAGATTGAAATGAACCACTGGCCATATTTCTATCCATCACCTGGCCTTTTCCTGATACTCAGAACAACGGGAATTTTAGTGGTCAGTTTGGAATTAAACAGACATGAACCTGTCTTCTAAAGAAAGAGAAAAGACATACATTTTTGAAGAGGGGCAACTAATTTAACATGCAAAGCAAATATTTGCGGGGCTATGGGGTAAGAGCAGGTGAATGGGACTAGTCGGATAGCACAGGCATGATGGGCCGAATGCTGTAAGATTCTATGCTTTGTTATTAAGTGAAAAGAACTTTTTACGAAATCCTGAATGATGTCTCAACCTGTCTGTGTTACTTAAGGGACCAGAGTGTTTCAAAATAGAAACTCAACCCAACCTGTATTCACTGCACTATACGTAATAATAATAATAATAATAATAATCCTTATATTTGATATAGTGCCTCTCATATCAAGTCCCAAAGAGTGCTTCATAGTGAAGTGGAGTGTTTGTGTTTGTCCAGCTAAGACACACTCTACCTACCCATTGGTTTGGGGCTTAGTTAATGGGAGCTGAATGGGAAAAGTCCCTACTCCCAGTGACGAGTATTATATTAAAGAGACTTCAGAATGCTTTTGTTAACATTCAAATCGAGTTAAAATTATAATGTTTTTTAACCAACGATTTGCACCAGGATTTGCAGTGAACTTACTGCTTGCCAAACATGGGAGCCCAGCGAAGCATTTTCATCCCGACTGATCTTCATGATGTGCCCGCAGAAATAATAGCGATTCACCATCTTAAACAGGTCCTCACCCGCACGTTCACACTCATCCTCTTCTTCGGGAGGCAAACTAGCGAGGACCTCCTCACTCGTCATCCTCTCTGACCTCCAGTCACAATCTCAAATTATTCAGGAAAACTGAACGTTTACTGAAAAAGTGGGAAAAGACTCTCAGCACAATCCAACAGCTTGCATAGTATCCTTCACATAAGGCAGCATCCCTAAATGATTTGCGTTCAGTTGACATTTATAATAATAATAAAAATTAATGATAATAATATATAATAATCCTTGCATTTGAAATACCATACAACTTACAGATGTGTTAGACTTTTATTGATTTGGAACCAAGCCTCCAATCCGTAAAGTTGTAGTAACTATGTTTTCCCAATGGATTTATGGCGTCACCAACACATAACGGTTTTACTTATAATCAAAATGAAAATATTTTTAAAAATGTGTAGATATTTACCAGCAAGCCATTCAATTAAATTTAACACCTGTGTCAAAGAGGATTTTATTGTAAGATATATTGACTGTAAATTTACAAAGTGCACATAATCTGTGTCACTGCTGAAGCTAATTTACGTTGTGTTGTTTGGCTGGAAATACAAAAACAACTTACTCAATAATTCTTCAGAGTTCCCCGATGATCTTTGCACTGGCAGGAATCACACATGGAAGGTGACCTTGGTTTTAAGCATTCAAAATCTCGCGGAAAAGTTTCCTTTGCAATCAGGGTTTCGCGAGAGCCTTGCTTTAACATTGTAGCACGTATTGTTCACGTGGCCTGCAAGCCTTTCACTCCTTTCAGTAGCGGCACCCCTTCATTACACGTTGCACCATTACTGGATCGGGCTGCCGCTCCAGGGCAGACCCATCCTGTGCCAACAATGTCTGTGGACATCAATGACCTCTTGGCTGAACAAATTGTGCTGTTTCATGGATGTCCCACGGTTTGAGCCTTTGCTGGGGCTCCAAACAGCTTAATTTGTGCAATGTTCATCCCAAACATAGTTTAAATTCTTTGAAATGGGCCGTCCTTTGGATGAGATGTTAAAACTGAGGTCTCGGATTGAAGCATCAGCTGAGACAAGGTGATTCTAAGTCCTGACGTGGGGCTTGAACCCTCATAACTTTCCATAACTTTCCATAACTTTCAGTACACCTACTTCATCAGGTAAATGACTACATGCCATGTCCACCTGTCAGAACAAAGTGTCAGAAGGTGGTTCAGTTCTTGTCTGGGATCGGTTACACTTACAGTTACAATGAGATGACTCTGCTCCACTTTGCAACACATTTTGACGTTGGGAAATTATGAAACTTTGAAGAAAACAGACACATCACGATCCCGTTAAAGCTATGGGGACCCCGTGATTGGGAACAAAATGTGTTTCTTGACTTTGTTGCATTTTTCAGAGTTGCCGTCCTATGGATGAGACATTAAAACTGAGGTCCCACTTTGAAGTGTCAGCTGAGACTTTGTGATTCCAAGTCCCGATGTGGGGCTTGAACCCACAACCTTCTGACTCAGAGGCCAGAGCCCTACCACTGCGCCAGTCTCACACACAGTGAAAATGCTTAATGTTAATGTGGAACTATCTTAAAAACTTATTAAAAAGTCGGAACCTTTTACTGAAAGGTATTAATCAAATCCGCTATAATACTAGACTGAGTAAATCTTTCAAACTAGCCTCCTGGCTGAATGGCCTCCTTCTGTGCTGTAATATTCTATGATTCTATAAGTCCAGGTCATTTATTTAATATTTAGCTAGTTACTGGCTCTCAAGTCGAGTAACTAGCTAAATATTAAATAAACTTTATATTGATTTACAGCATGGAAACAGGCCATTCGGCCCAGTTTGTCCATCTTGCTGTTTGTACTCCACGTACTCCACTTCTTAGTCCCTCGCTTCTATTCCCTTGTTCCTCAGAGAAGCACAAGCGAGGGACCTGGATTTGATTCTCAGCAGGACGAAGCTTTGGGTAAGTTTCCTTGCTCTACGCACCTCTGTTTACCGAGCAGTAAGTAGGAACCCGGTTATCGGTCGATTGGCAGATGACTTTTCCGGGGGGTAATAATTCCTTCAAAAAAAAAATTGGTCACTCAATCCACGACTGTTTGTGGGACACTGCTGCGTGTAATTGGCTGTTGTGTTTCGCCTACAAAATACACAGTCAATTAACTTTACAGTATATTCTGTGAGCGTCTCAGAGCGCTTCACAGTAACGGATCCCGGGAGCGAGTCGGGGGGAGGGGGGGAAGGTGACCAAAGACGCGGTCGAAGAGAAAGGTCTTCAACAGAGAACTGAAAATGGGAAGGGACGGAACGAGACAAAGGGAGAGAGGGAGTTCTAGAGCCTCGGGGCATAGTGGCTGAAGGGACGGCCGCCGCAGGTGGAGCGGAGGAATCAGGGGACAAGGAGGAGGCCAGACCCGGAGGAACGAAGGCAACGGGTACTGTTTTGAGGAGAGAGGAGGTCAGGGAGGTCGGGGGGTGCAGAGGAGTGCAGAGACTTGAATACAAGGATGAGGATCTTGAAGTCGATCCTCTCTGGGATAGGCAGCCAATGCAGTCTGGTAAGAACTGGGGTGATCGGGGAGCGGAGTTTCGTGCGGGTGAGAATGCGGGCGGCAGACTTTTGAATGATTTGGATTTTATGGATGGTAGTGGATGGGAGACCAGCGAGGAGGGTGTTGGAGTAGTCCAGCCGAGAGGTTGACAAAGGCATGGACCAGGGTTTCAGCAGCTTTTATATAAAAACCAATTTGCCAAACACAAATAGAGAATAACTGTCAACAACATCACCAACAAATTGGTGGCAGAGAGAGCCCTGGTCACAGATAGAGAGGATGTCATTTGTGACTTTCACAAGCGCAGTCTCTGTAACTGTGGGCAGGGCGGAAACTGGACTGGAGGGGTTCGAAGAGGAAGTGGGAGGAGAGGTGTGCGTGAAGTTGGTTGGCAACAACGCATTCTAGAACTGTTGAGAGGAAGGGCAGGTTAGAAATAGGACAGTAATGGTTGGGGTTTGAGGGATCTAGGGAGGGTTTTTTCAGGAGGGGGGTGATGACAGCAGTTTTGAGTGAGACAGGAACTGATCCGGAGGAGAAGGACTGGTTGATAATGTCAGCCAGTAGTGGGCAGAGGAGGGGGAGCTGGGTGACCAGTAAGTTGGTGTGGAGGAGGTCGAGGCAGCAGGTGGTGGGTTTCATGGAGGTGATGGTGGGTGAGAGGGAGGAGGGAGAGATGGGGAGGAAGGAATGTAGAATGGGGGTGGTGGTAGGAGCAGATGATGAGGAAGGTGAGGGGGACAGAGAGGGCGAGGTGGTGGCAGGTGGATGAGGCTGCCTGGCGGATGTTAAGTATTTTAGATGAAAAGAAGTCCATGACCTCGTCGCACTTGGCATTTGATACGAAGATTGAGGAGGCCTGAGGGGGCCACAGAGGAGGTAAAGGGTGGTGGAAAAAAGAATTTTAGGGTTATATTTAACCTCCAAGATGATGTTGGAGTAGAAGTCGTTTTTGCATGTGTCAAAGAACGGCTGTAGCTGTGGAGATGTTCGAACCACAATTGGCGGTGGACTGTCAGGCCAGTTTTCCGCCATCTGCAGAGCAGACAGCTTTGGATTTTTTGGCAGCGGAGGTGGTTGTTGTACCAGTGGGGTCGGGTGGGTTTGGAGATGGTCCTGGATTTCACGGGGACGAGGGAGTTGAAGGTGGAGGTGATGCGATCATGGAGAAGCTGGACGGCTGATTCAGGATCTCCACGGATGGAAGGCCAAAGAGATAGGATGTTTGATGATGAGAGGGCCTTTGTGAGGGTCTCAGGGGCTAGCCTTTTCAAGGGCGGTAGAGGATGGTTGAGAGCTTGGTGGAGGAGAGAGGGATGTGAGAGGAGAAGGAGATGAAAAAATGGTCCAAGATGGCCTTGTCCACTATGCTGAGGACGGAAATGTCAAGGTCATGGGTGATGACGAGGTCAAGTGCATGACCATGGTTGTGGGTGGGTGAATTTATATGGAGGGTAAGGTTTAGGGAGGAGAGGAGGGCAGTGAAATCAGCAGAAGTCGTGCAAGGGGAGTTTAGGTGGAGGTTGAAATCATCCATTATGAGTAGGCGCTTGGAGCAGAGGGACAGGGAAGAGAGGGGAGTAGAGATGTCTGTGTGGAAGGAGCCGGGGGGCTTAGCTTAGCGGGGGCGGTAGACAAGGAGGATTTTCAAAGGGAGAGAGGGGTGGAAGAGGGTGAGGTGCTCGAAGGAGGGTAAGCAGCCAGAGGAGTAGGGGGTGAGACCAAGGGAGGCTTTGGAAATGAAGGCCACCCCGCCACCACGTTGGTTTGGACGGGTGGGGGGGTGTGGTGGAAGGTGTAGCCTGGAGGGGAGGCTTCCACTAGGGGGACGGGGTCATTGGGGGAGAGCCAGGTTTCAGTGAGCCCAAGAATGTCAAGGTGCTCGTCCAGAATGAGGTCGTGGATGGTGAGGGCTTTATTTGAGAGGGAACGGACATTTTGGAGGATAAATGCGTGTGGGTTCGCTGGAGGGGGGGAGGGGGGGGAGGAGAGAATGGTGCGGAGAGGATTTGGGGTTTACAGGAGAGATGGTTGTGGAGAGTGATGTGAGTGGAGAGTTGGGGAGGGTAGGTATGAGGGAAGGGGGAGTTGGGTTTGCCTTAAGGAGGTGGTTTGAGTGGAGGGAGTGAGTGATGGTACACGTGGGGTTGCTGCTCTGGGAAAGCCAGTGCCGGGAGCCACGATGGGCCCGGTGGAGGATGCCCAGGCTGGACCAGAGGGAAGTGGTGATGGGGTCGAGGAGAGAGAGAAGGCGGGGATGGCGGTGGGAGAGAAGGACAAAGGGGGAGTAGCGGATAAAGGGGGGGGTGGTGGGAGGAGAGACATGGAAGGAGGGTGGGAGGGGAGACATTTAGAGTGGAGGGGGAGGCTCAGGTCGGGGTGGCAGCCAAAACCACGCACCCAGAGACCGGGAGCGAGCGATCAGCGAGACAGCATCAGCCCTCAAGCTTAGCCTCCCAGGTCATGGCCAGGATGGCAGTGCCAGGGGCCAGGCCATTGTTGTTGTTGTTGTATGACGTGAGTGATAGAAGCAGATTGGATTCACTGGCACAAGTGTACCATTTCACAATGGCAGAAGTAGTAGTTTGTTTGACCGTTCAGAACCTGAACGCGACTAAAGAGTAACTGACTAATCAATCGTATTTTATTCGTCACATTTTATGTTGCATTTACCAGTGTAAATATTAGCTGTTTTTACATGTGCGCCATAACGGATCTCTACTTACGCTCAAGTAAGCAAGTTAGCAAATGGCAGGTCAGTATTTATGTGGCTGTCTCAAGAATAAACCACTGGGTAATGATATTGTACTATATATCCTGTGAAGTGCTTGAGGTGTCTCAATGACAAGATAAGGCACTATATCAAATGCAAGCATTATTATTATTGTTGTTGTTGTATTATTATTTTATTATACATTATTAGTTGTCAATTCAAAGCCTCAGAAAGGCAACAAACACACAAGGATAAGTAACCACTTAACTAAATATGGACACATAGCAACAGAATGAACCCTGAATGGCTCGCTGGGTTGATGAGCTGCCCGGAGTGCAACAGAGCCGTTCAGACCAGGAAACTCCCAGCCTGGTTGCAGCCTATGTGGACACGTGTGCTTGTATTTGGCCACAGTGCCCCATGGCAAGGGAGCTACTAAATTTGGGGTGTCTGGGCCACATGTAAAACTACCTCTTTTTACCAGTTTCCAGGCTGGAAAGAGAAAGTGCGGAAAAAGGCAACTTGGTGATAATTATTTATTGAAACCATCATAAGATTATTGATTGCAAGAGTCTAATATCTATCCTGGGCTTCAGTCGCTGGACATTTCTTGGTTAACTTGTACACATTGACCGCTGCATTATTGTCACTGAAAATAATCTCGGAGTTGAAACCTACAGGTAACATGGAGTTGTGAAATTCTGACACTTTGAGAAATGGCCGCATTTGTGAAGAGATAAAGATAACAGTGTTAGGGTTACTGAGGGACTTCAGGGTCTCAATCAGAGCGTTGTAGGAACTGAGGCTGTACACAATATCCGAGCCAATAATATAATCATAATCCGAGGGAAAATCTTTGTGGTTTTCACCCCAGCAGAGAACGGACACCTTTGATCGGTGCATTATAGAAGCGGGGATGTTATTATTCATGTTGTTTTGTATTTGTGGCAAAACATAGGATTGGTCAGTCAGAGTGATATTCCCACCTGAAATTAAAAAAATTAAATCAAACATCAATGTGTTTTATACTGGACTGTATTACAGATCATTTATAGTTCCTCACTGGAGTCCACTGACCAACAGAGCTCATTAGAAACCTTTGTGTTATTATAGTTTGACACAGGTGAGCTGAAGGCTGACATCACCCTCACACGTGTACTCTATTACAGTGTTATTGTAGTCAAGTTTTAGAAGAGAACTGGAGTTAAACAGGAAATTCTTCAAATTTAAAGTCTTTAAGTTACCACCTCCCAATCTCTATTCTAATCATCCTTGCAGTTGATATTCTAATTCCTGCTCAATAGTCATGTTCTGTAACTCTGCCCATAAATGCAGGTCTGTGTCATGTTCAGACAACAGAACGTGCTCAGCCTCGCAGTCTGAACAACAGACTGAAATTCATTGTCGGAATCGCCTATTGGGAATGAACAACATTCTAGAGGATGGTCATTGGGCGTTAAACCATATCCTTGAGCATTTGTACCTTCACAGGAGGCGAAAGGTAAGCATAGATGTCAATGTTCAGCCCATGACTACATATTACTTGATACCATCTGTAGCAATATTGACTTTGCTTTAGTTTGCCACTAGACACGATGGGCCGAATGGCCTTCCTCTGTGCTGTCAATTTGTATGTTCGGTGGTGAGTGTAGCTTCCAGCAACCACGGTTACTTAGTGACAGATAGTGACGCAAACAGAACATGTGATAAACTATATCAAATTCGAAGATTATTATTATTCCTGCGAATAAGCATTTGAATTTTGTGGCATTTTAGCGTTTTGTTTTATTTGCGCTAATTATTTCTTTGTGGATTAGAATCTTTTGGGAGAAATGCATTTATCTGGATACAGTGGTGCCTATTACAGTACAAGCGTGTTCAAATCAAACAAGTGTCATACGGCTGCAGAATATCTACCTGTCTCGCCATAATACACAAGCTGTGTTTGTGTATTGTGGCACAACTGTTCTTTCCTCTCAATTATCAATAATGACCTGGAAACTCACCCAAAAGAGCTGCTAAAATGCCTACGATTCCAGTGCCAGAGCCCAGCTCAATCACCTTCTTCCCGGTGAAATCCATCTTCTCCTTTTCAAAGTACTGGCAAAGCACGAGACCCTGGAGAACATTCCAGCCGTTACTTGAGAAATATGGATTTTGAAAAACTTTGAGCCATCCAGCTGATGGGCAGAGAAAGAAAGTATGGGCGGAATATGGATAAACTGTGGGTGTGTGAGAGAGAGTGAGAGAGAGCAAGAGAGAGAGAGTGCATATCACGCATTGTTATTGAATGTTTACCATTTCTTTTGGAATAATATGCTGTCTGAAATTCGCTGCCACGTTTCACCCACAAAACACGCAATCAATTCACTTTACAGTATGGTTTGTGAAGCTCTATGTCATGTCGACGATGTGATAAGGTTCCATATCAAATGCAAGGCTTATTATTATTATTATTAATAGTATGTGTTAGGTTTAAAAGGTGAATGGAGTCCACTCAGGCAGCCAGAATTGGGCCAAGGGGATGGAAGCGTATGTGCACAAGGCTATCAGTCTGGACTCAAACAACTGGAGAGGTCAGGGTTTCAGCGGGTGGGAAATCGTGTCAGTAGTGTGTGAGGAGGAGAGTGGGACCTTGCAGCTAGAAGGGGTTTCCTTTTCCGTTTCACAATCACAACGTTTGCAAGAAATGAGGAGACTTACAGCTTCCCAGATAGTAGAAGAATACTCAAGGTTAGAACCAATCATCCGAATGATCCTCAGCTTGTATCCGCACACCTCATAGCAATCCTCTATCCAATCAGGTAATTTTTCTTTACGACTTAGAATTTGGGGGAGTGCCATTTTCGGATATTTGTTTCGTGTTCGAGCAAATCTTCAGTTTATCGGTGACTGTGCTTGTTGTCAATAAGGACTTTTGTCAATATCAGGAGAAGGTGTTTCAATTTATCCCTGGATTACAACAACGAGAACAACATACATTTGTATAGCTCTTTTAACATTGGCAGGACGTCCCAAGGCACTGAATAAGCTGCGATGGCCAGGAACAAAAGTTCAGAGCACGTACCTCTAAATGCAGTTTATTATATAATATGATATTTTGATGGATTAGTTCAAAATATCTCGTAGCATATTGGAGATTAGTTACATTCATTCTAAAAATATGCTTTTTACACTATCCCGCAATACCTCGACCTCACCCACCTCTCTTGCATCCTTCAAGTCCCGTCTCAAGACCTCCCTCTTTGCCTTCGGCCAGCCTCCCCCCAACCCACTGCCTTCCACCCTTCCTGACCCAGCTCCCAGCTCGGGTCCAAAACCCCTGTTGTCCAGCAACCTGGAATGACTTTCTGATGTGAAGGGCACTATGCAAGTGCAATTTGCTGTTTTCTTTTTAAGAAAAACACGAGGCTCATCATGTTATAAAAAGTGGAAATTTTTCTCCAGTAACATTCTCAGAGAGCGGGAACTGAAAGCCTTGCCTGCTGTCCCAGCAATCCACACTACTTTCCCCAAACCTCGCCTCTAGCCAACTCATCTCATATTTTCCAGGATTAGGTACACGCTCTCCACAAAGACATTTATTTTTACTAAGTAAAATATTAAATTAATTAAATAAAACATTTATTCCAGAAGACGGATATTCTCCTATTAACCCTGAAAACCAAAGCCCCAACAGGGAGGGTGCTTCTCGCTGGACAAGGAACAAGAAACTTGTCAAACTATCAATGCCAACAAAATACACAATCAATCCACTTTACAGCTTATTGTGTGAAGCCCTTTGAGATCCCTTGACAACATGTTAAGCAGCTACACCAAATCCAAGGATTATTGTTATTATTATTAATAATGAAAAGCTATTGGGCTTTAGCTGTTGAATTCCAGCAGTTACCCCCATGCACGCTTATAACTGGACGCTTAGCGATTTGCAGCTAATGCTGTCAGGATGAGCTGAGATAAACTGGATGGGTCTCTCTGTGTGTGCATTCCTTTCCAGACACAGGGAAGATTCCAAATGGCGCCACTATTATTGTGGTTTGTAGCGCTCCGAGACCCTCTCCTGGGTGAAGGACACTATATACACGCAAGGTGTTGTTGGCGATGGCTTGGGTACTGATAAGCACTCAGTAATAGCTGGGATATTGGGAATTCTGGGAAGAGGGGACAGGATCTCATTGGCAGCTGTCGAGAGGAAGCAAACCTAAGATTGCTCCTGGAAGGAAGAACAAGTCAGGAATGCGTAGAAGGTCCCTGGGTCCCTGGAGCTCTGACCAGAAAAGTGACAACCCCTAGAGAGGGGGCTGAGGAAACCCTGGCCCTAATGAGATGCTGAACTGACCCTCTAGAGGAGGAGAACAGAACATAGAGTTTGGGTACCTGAGTGGAGATGTGAACTCACGTGTCCCCAGTGCTGAGCTCCTCATGTGAGACCCGGGGAATGTCAGTGCCAAGGACACACGTGCACTTAGCCTCCTGCTTTTAACATGTCAAAATCTCGTCAAAATTCATCATCGGATGTTTGTCCCATTATTTCAGATCGCGAGAAGTTATCAAACCAAGCTCTAACTAGCAACTATAACATAGTTATTATTATTGTTATTCTGAGGGGGAACGACCTGTGCTTTGGACATTCTGATCTGGTCCCATTGAGGTTGCCCCACACACTCACAGCATGATATCCTTCTGACGTGAAAGACGCTGTACAAATGTAATGTTGTTGTTGTGTACACATGATGTTCCTTTCAATCCTGTTTTAATCACTTTACCTTCAGCTCGCTAAACCAGGAACTCAACCTTTTAGCAACCTGTTACACTCCCCATGTTACAGGGTCAGAGTTAGTGTAATCTGCCCTTGTTTATGTCAGTGAATTCCCCTTCAGTCACCACTGGGGTTCATTTCCTCAGGAAGAATAAAGAACATTCTCTTGGTTGAAGCGTATCTAAAGTTGATAATTGTTGGATAATCCCTGGCGTCTTCACCCCCTCCCCATCCCCCCATAAACCACATATTACACCCAATGTGTGTTTTAGCAAGAATAAGTCAGTTTTATTAACCTGAAGGATAATGTATGTGGGGGATATCATACACACAATGACAATAGAGTAAAACTGGCTAATCACCATCAAACACACAGTGATCTAGTGAACAACATCAAAGTAAAGGCCAGTTTAGTACAGATAAGATATTTTATTTATACGTATAATGGATGTAATGAAACTGCAACGGGTTCAGCTAATATAATAATAAAATAATAATAATAAGTGTAACAACCCAAATTCTATGAACCGCCAGCTGCCGAACGTTCTGTGATCCATTAACTGCAAACAATATTGCAAGCGTGTCTTTACAGCCCTTTACACAAGACTGGGATATCTTGTTCCTACTTTATATGCCCTCAGAATGAACAGTGCGTGTAACGTGATTTGTTTTTAACATACAAATGAAACTATATTGATCATTGCGTGCTCCACATGTGCTGTTGCAGTGAGAAAATGCGTTAGAGACAGCATTTTGTGAATAAAATGGAAAACATGACCAGGGGAAAATTAGGAAATGTGCTTTCTTGCAAGTGTTAGTGAAAGTAAATGCATCCCACCTGACCCCCATAAACAGGTAAATACGAGGATGGTGAATGGTGGTGTGTGGGGAAAGGTGCGTATTGATTTATAAATAACAAATTATTAAGAATAGTGCATGATTTCGAATAGCATAATTAATAAAGAAAAATAAGTGTCACGTGACAAAGGGTGACCATAAAAACCATAAATGTCCAGTCTTGTCAAAAAAAAACTAACTGAAGGAACATCCTGAACTGGACATCGGACAGTGTCACTGGGTAATGTGGGACATGATGTCTGTTACTGGGGTAAGTGGGGCCCGATTATTAAGGGGGAGGTGAAATCTGGGACAGTGAAATAAAGCATCAACTTTCATCCTCAAAATAATCGCAATTACTTTCATTCCATTGCTCTCCTGTGCTCTCTGAATGAACTTCTCTGGTGAATTAAGAGTTAGCGAAATTTGAGGACATTGTTTTATTGTTGAGCATCACATCTGGCTGGACTGAGGAAAGTGGACGATCATTGAAAAACCACTGAAAATTTTCAAGTGAGTTTGACATTTTTGATTATAATGCATCCTCTCATTGCTATCTCGATGCCGTGCTCAACCCAACCAGGTCTGGTTGCCTCCAATGGATTTAGACAAATGCCATAACATAGTACAATAAGCATATCTCTAACAATTTTACAATAACTGTAATCCGAAGACGAAAGGCGAAATCCAAACTTACTTGGTTCTTAATTCAAATATGTTTATTGGCTAATACAACTTTGCATTTTAATATGATTATTTTACAATCATTTTATTTTCTAACAATAAATTAGCTGATGTTGTCCTTGTGGCTCCTTGTTTTGATTTAGTCCCTTCTGCCTGTTCAGGTGGGTGTTAAAGATCCCGCAGCTCTATTGGAAAAGAGTTTCTCTCTCCTGGTGTCCTGGCCAACAATCCCCCAAATAAAATTGGTCACTTCCGTGGTTGTTTGTGGGATATTGCTCTGCGCAAATTGTCTGCCACGGTTGCCCACAAAATGCACAAAGCTACATTACTTACAGTACACCCTGGGAAGCGCTTCGAGAGATCTCGACAACATAGTAAGGCATTATACCAACAACAACAAGAACAAAATTACATTTATATAGCGCCTTTCACGTCGGGATGACGTCCCAAGGCACTGGACAATCAGAGCTTCGCATCCGAGCTGGGGGTCGGGATTGAGAAGGGTGGAGGGCAGAGGGGGTAGGAAGGTGACCAACGACACGGTCGAAGAGGAGGGTCTTGAGATGGGTCTTGAAGAAGGCAAGGGAGGGGGTGTGGTGGGGGGAACTGCGGGATGGAGTTCCAGAGGGCAAGGGCAGAGCGCCTGAAGGTGGTTCAGTACCATTGAGTCCTGTCTGGGATCGGTTACACTTACAGTTACAATGAGATGACTCTGCTCCACTTGCAACACATTTTGACTTTGAGAAATTATGAAACTTTGAAGAAAACAGACACATCACGATCCTGTTAAAGCTATGGGAACCCTGTGATTGGGAACAAAATGTATTTCTTGACTTTGTCGCATTTTTCAGAGTTGCCGTCCTATGGATGAGACGTTAAAACTGAGGTCCCACTTTGAAGTGTCAGCTGAGACTTTGTGATTCCAAGTCCCGATGTGGGGCTTGAACCCACAACCTTCTGACTCAGAGGCCAGAGCCCTACCACTGCGCCAGTCTCACAGACAGTGAAAATATAGTAAGGTTAATGTGGAACTATCTTGAAAACTTATTAAAAAGTCGGAACCATTGAGTATGTTAATCGATTTCGCTCTTCAGGTTTGTTAACCCTTTCTAACTAGTCCTCTTCCCTATGTCATTACTATTTTATATTAATAGTTTGACAGCCTAGATCGGTGGTAGCAGTCTCGCCTATGAGTCAGAAGGGGCTTGTTGGTTCTTAAGTAAGACGGACAGGTTGAGACCATCGTTCCAGATTTTTTCAAAAGCCCTTTTTACTAAATAACAAAGCATAGAATCTTACAGCACAGAGAAGGACCTCATTTGGCTCATCGTGCGTGTGCAATCCAACTTGTTCCACTCCCCTGCTCTTACTCCAAAGCCCTGCAAATTTTTTCCTTTTCAAGTACCTATCTAATTCCCTGTTGAAAGCTACTATCCAATCTGCTTCCATCACCCTTTCAGGCAGTGTGTTCCAGATCGTAACAACTCACTGCATAATTTTTTTTATGCTTTTATTTAAAAAGGTTTGTCAACTTGTCCTGCTAACGTGAAACGTTTGTGCATGTGAACCCCCAGGTCTCTCTGTTCCTACACCCCCTTTAAAATTGTACCATTTGTCTTATATTGGGTCTTCTCATTCCTCGTCCCAAAATAGATCACGTCACACTTCTGTGTATTATCATATACGCTCCATCTGCCATGTGTCTGCCCATTTCACCAGCCTCTCCATGTCCTCCTGCAGTCTGCTACTATCCTCTTCACTATTTACTAAGTTTCCAAGTTTTGTGTCATTTGCAAACTTTAAAATTTTACTCTCTGTGCCCAAATATATATATATATCTTCCAAAGAGTTGTGCCGAATGAGATCCAGCGCAAGCATGATTGGCCAAGTGGCCTCCTTCTGTACTGTAATGTTGTATGATTCTATAAGTCCAGGTCATTTATTTAATATTTAGCTAGTTACTGGACCTCAAGTCGAGTAACTAGCTAAATAAATATTAAATAAACTTTACATTGATTTACAGCATGGAAACAAGCCATTTGGCCCAGTTTGTCCATCCTGCTGTTTGTACTCCACTTACTCACTCTCCACCCACTCCTTACTCCCTCCCTTCTATTCCCTTGTTCCTCATAGAAACATAGAAATAGGAGGAAGCAATTCAGCTCCTCAAGCCTGTACCATCATTTTATAAGACCATGGCTGATCTGTACCTCAAGTCCAGTTACCTTGCCACATATCCCATAATACCTCGACCGACGAAATATATATCTACTCCCATATTGAAAATGTGAATGGATTTAACATCTACAGCCTTTTGAGGAGAGAGTTCCAGATTTCCACAACCCATTGTGTGAAAAACTGCCTCCGAATTTCACTCCTAAATGACCCAGCTCTAATTGTAAGATGATGCCCCCTTGTTCTGGATTACCCCACCAAAGGAAATAGTTTCTCTCTATGTACCCTATCGAATCCCTTTGTTATTTTAAACACCTCAATCAGATCACCCCTGAAACTTTTAAACTCAAGGGAATAGAAACCAAGCTTCTTATAATTTAACACTTTAAGCCCTGGTATTATTCTTTTGAATCTGCGCTGCACCCCCTCATGAGTTAATATATGTAGAGTCCTGTAGTTAGTGGTTAGAGCACTTGCCTCACAAGTGAGAGACCTGGACTTGATTCCCAGCAGGGCAAAGCGTTGAGCAAGTTTCTTTGCTTTACACACCTCTGTTTACCGAGCAGGAAACTGGTTGTTAGTCGATTGGCAGATGGCTTTTCCGGGGATAATAATTCCTTCAAAAAAAATTGGTCACTCAATGCACAACTGTTTGTGGGACACTGCTGTGTGCAATTGGCTGCTGCGTTAACCCTACAAAATATACAGTCAATTCACTTTACAGTATATTCTGTGAAGCGCTTTGAGATGCCTCAGAGACGTGATAAGGCATATATCAAATCCACACTGCAGGACATGTCGAACATTTGGGGGTGCTAATGCGGGCGGACAGAAAACACCACAAACCTTAATCCCTTGGACTTCAATTTTAAGACCCTCCAATGCAATGCTGAGTGGGGGTTGCATTGTCAGAGGGGATGTTCATCAGATGAGATGTTAAAATGAGGTTCCAGCTACCTGTTTAGATGGATGTTAAAGATAACATGGCTCTATTTAAAGAGAGAAGGGAGTTTCTCCCTGTGTCCTGGCCAATAATCTCCCAAATAAAAATTAGTTTATCATTTCATGGCTGTTTGTGGAATAATGATGTGCAAGGTTTGGTTGCTGCGCTCGCCCACAAAATGTAGTCACTACACTTTACAGTAAAACCCTCCGAAGCGCCTTGGAAAGTCCTCCTGACTATACCAAATGCAAGGATTATTATCAAAACCGCCAGTAAAAAAATCGGAAGCAACTTAATAACTTTTATTTTGCTGTTCTTTATTTGGAAAGACAATATAATTGGGGACATGATCATTGGAAGCAAAGCCGTGTGATATTTTAGAATTCAGTCGCAGCTTTTGCTGGGAGCAACTAAACCTTAGACATGAGTGATGGCAGCAGGTTGGATTCACTGGCACAGATGTATCATTTCACAATGACAGAAGCAGAAGTTTGATTGTTCAGAACCTAAACATGATTAAAGAGTAACTGACTAATCAATCGTATTTTATTCATTATGTTTCATATTGCATTTACCAGTGTAAATATTAGCTGTTTTTATATGTGCGCCATAAGGTAATAATAATAATCCTTGCATTTGATATAGCGCTTTTCACGTCTTCAAGTCGTCTCAAAGCGCTTCACAGAATATACTGTAAAGTGAATTGACTGTATATTTGTGGGCGAAACACGGCAGCCAATTGCGCACAGCATTGTCCCACAAACCGTCGTGGATTGAAGTGACAAATTGATTTTTTTTTTCTTGAGGGATTATTATCAAGCGTGTGGACTAAGGAAACTTACCCAAGGTTTCACCCTGCCGGAAATCGAACCCAAGTCTCTCGATTGTGAGGCGAGTGCTCTAACCACTTTTAAACTTCATATAGGACAGTACTAGGACTCCACTAGGTATCTCTACTTAAGCCCAAGTAAGCAAGTTAGCAAATGGCAGGTCAGTATTTATGTGGCTGTCTCAAGGATAAAACTTTGGGTAAAGATATTGTAATAATAAAAAGAAATTCTTGCATTTGATATTCATGCATGTAAGCGAGGTCTCTTTGGAGGTGAACTGGCTCCAAGGTGACATGCTTGGCATCGGAATATAGGAATGAAGCCAGCATCAGAGTAACATGTTTCAGCTGGTAATCACTAACTAATGAACGCCTCCCGCTTTAATGGGAGCAGATCTGGAGAAAGCACCAATAACTTCAAGCCTGTGAGGTACTGAATTTGGGGTGTCTGGGCCACATGTAAAACTATCTCTTTTTACCAGTTTCCAGGCTGGAAAGAGAAAGTGCGGAAAACAGCAAATTGGTGATAATTATTTATTGAAACCGTCATAAGATTATTGATTGCAAGAGTCTAATTTCTATCCTGGGCTTCAGTCGCTGGACATTTCCTGGTTAGCTTGTACAAATTGACCTCCGCATTAGTGTTACTGCAAACAACCTCGGAGTTAAAATCTACAGTTACCATCCGGTTATGAAATTCTCTGGTTGTAGACCGCATTTTGGAAGAGATCAATATAACAGTGTTAGGGTTGCTGAGGGACTTCAGGGTCTCAATCAAAAAGCTGTAAGAACTGAGGCTGTACACAATATCCGAGCCAATAATATAATCATAATCAGAAGGAAAATCTGAGTGGTTTATACCCCAGCAGAGAACGGACACCTTTGATCGGTGGATTATAGAAGCGGGGATGTTATTATTCATGTTGTTTTGTATTTGTGGCAAAACACGGGGTCGGTCCGTCAGAGTGATATTCCCACCTGAAATAAAAAAATTAAATCACACATTTTTATACTGGACTGTAATACAGGTCATTTATAGCTCCTCACTGGAGTCCACTGACCAACAGAGCTTATTAGAAACCTTTGTGTTATTATAGTTCGACACAGGTGAGCTGAAGGCTGACATCACCCTCACACATGTACTCTATTACAGTGTTACAGTTTTGCCCACAAAATATACAGTTAATTCACTTTACAGTATATTCTGTGAAGCGCTTTGAGACGTCTAGAAGACGTGAAAAGCGCTATATCAGATGCAAGGATTATTATTATTATTATTATTGGAGTCAAGTTTTAGAAGAAAACTGGAGTTAAACAGGAAATTCTTCAAATTTAAAGTCTTTAAGTTACCACCTCCCAATCTCTATTCTAATCATCCTTGCAGTTGATATTCTAATTCCTGCTCAATAGTCATGTTCTGTAACTCTGCCCATAAATGCAGGTCTGTGTCATGTTCAGACAACAGAACGTGCTCAGCCTCGCAGTCTGAACAACAGACTGAAATTCATTGTCGGAATCACCTATTGGGAATGAACAAGATTCTAGAGGATGGTCATTGGACGTTAAACCATATCCTTGAGCATTTGTACCTTCACAGGAGGCGAAAGGTAAGCACAGATGTCAATGTTCAGCCCATGAATACGTATTACTTGATACCATCTGTAGCAATATTGACTTTGCTTTAGTTTGCCACTAAACACGATGGGCCGAATGGCCTTCCTCTGTGCTGTCAATTTGTATGTTCGGTGGTGAGTGTAGCTTCCAGCAACCACAGTTACTTAGTGACAGATAGTGACGCAAACAGAACATGTGATAAACTATATCAAATTCGAAGATTATTATTATTCCTGCGAATAAGCATTTGAATTTTGTGGCATTTTAGCATTTTGTTTTATTTGCGCTAATTATTTCTTTGTGGATTGGAATCTTTTGGGAGAAATGCGTTTATCTGGATACAGTGGTGCCTATTACAGTACAAGCGTGTTCAAATCAAACAAGTGTCATACGGCTGCAGAATATCTACCTGTCTCGCCATAATACACAAGCTGTGTTTGTGTATTGTGGCACAACTGTTCTTTCCTCTCAATTGTCAATAATGACCTGGAAACTCACCCAAAAGAGCTGCTAAAATGCCTACGATTCCAGTGCCAGAGCCCAGCTCAATCACCTTCTTCCCGGTGAAATCCATCTTCTCCTTTTCAAAGTACTGGCAAAGCACGAGACCCTGGAGAACATTCCAGCCGTTACTTGAGAAATATGGATTTTGGAAAACTTTGAGCCATCCAGCTGATGGGCAGAGAAAGAAAGTATGGGCGGAATATGGATAACCTCTGTGTGTGTGTGTGTGCGTGTGAGAGAGAGAGATAGAGATAGTGTGTGTATCACGTATTTTTATTGAACATTTACTATTTCGTTTGGAATAATATGCTGTGCGCAATTGGTTTGCCTCATTACGCCCTCAAATTACACAGTTAATTCATTTAACAGTATAGTTTGTGAAGCTCTTTGAGACGTCTCGAAGATGTGAAAAGGCGCCACATCAAATGCAAGGCTTATTATTATTATTATTATTATTATTATTATTATTATTATTATTATTATTATTATTATTATTAATAGTATGTCCTGGGTTTAAAAGGTGAATGTAGTCCACTCAGGCAGCCAGAATTGGACCAAGGGGATGGAAGTGTATGTGCACAAGGCTACCAGCCTAGAGTCAAACAACTGGTCAACCAATTAGCAACATCTATGCTCCTGACCTGCCACTGGGTTCCCAAAACGCTGGCACTGCAGGAGGAACATGTACATTGACATGTCATTAACCACGCAGAGAAAATCACTCAATGTTTCCAGTAAAACAGCATCAAAGTAGCGAGAGCAACAATAAGCTCTTATGATATAGCATCTTCCAAATACAGTCAAAGCTGTCTTCAACCTCAGCTCAGGGGCCCGAGCCCCAGTGGCATCCCAGATTTATGCAGGGGGTGGCCTCTGAGCAGGGGTTTGTTGATGTGTTTTCTATCTATGTCCAGACTGTTCCAGGTGGCTGCTAACAGGGTGTGGTTGCTAACAGAGGGCGTATTGCTAACATGGGGTATTTACTAACAGGGTGGTTGCTGAATGGAGGTGGCTATTGAATGGAGGTAGCTCTTGAAAGGAGAGGTGATTGCTGAATGGATGTGGTTGCTTGGACAAGTTTGAGTGTATTTCAGAGATGGAGAGCAAACTCAAGCAAGCAGCAGGGCAAGGTAGGAGCGGAGGAGAGGTCAAGGTTTTAGCAGGTGTGAATGCGCGTTAGCAGCGTGCGAGGGGGAGAGTGAGACCCTGCAGCTAGAAGGGGGTTTCCTCTTCCCGTTTACAATCGCAATGTTTACAAGAAAGGAGGAAACTTACAGCTTCCCAGATGGTAGAGGAAAACTCAAGGTCAGAGCCAATCATCCGAACGATCCTCAGCTTGTGTCCACACACCTCATAGCAATCCTCCACCGAATCAGGATAATTTTTTTTTTGACTCAGAATCTGGGGGAGCGCCATTCTCGGAGATTTGTCTTGTGTTCGAGCAAATCCTCAGTTTATCAGTGATTATTGCTTGGTTGTCCAATAAGAACCTTTGTCAATGTTACGAGAAGGACAGATTATCTCAAAATATCTCATAGCAAATTTGGGATTAGTTACATTGATTATAAAAATATGTTTTTTTATGCTATCCCGCAATACCTCCCTCTCCCCACCTCTCTTGCTTCCTTCAAGTCCCTTCTAAAGACCTTCCTCTTCAACTGTGCCTTCGGACAGCCTCCCACCCCGAACCCCTGCCTTCGATCCCTCCTGACCTAACTCTCAGCTCGGGTCCAAAACCCCTGGTTGTCCAGCACCCTGGAACATCTTTCTGACGTGAAGGTCGCTATACAAGTGTAAAATGTTGTTTTTTAAACACGAGACTCATCTTAGGCCGTTCTAGGATATCAATCTTTAATGTTATAAAAAGCGGAAATTGCCCCCAGTTATCAAACATTCTCAAAGAGCAGGAACTGAAAGCCTTGCCTGCTGTCCCAGCAATCCCCGCCTCTAGCCAGCTCACCTCATACTTTCCAGGATTAGGTACAAGCTCTCCAACAAGACATTTATATTTACTAAGTAAAATATTAAATTAATTAAATAAAACATTAAGTATATACAAGTATACACCATATACATGCAAGGTGTTGTTGGCGATGGCTTGGGTACTGATAAGCACTCAGTAATAGCTGGGATATTGGGAATTCTGGGAAGCGGGGACAGGATCTCATTGGCAGTTGTCGAGAGGAAGCAAACCTAAGATTGCTCCTGGAAGGAAGAACAAGTCAGGAATGTGTAGAAGGTCCCTGGGTCCCTGGAGCTCTGACTAGAAAAGTGACAACCCCTAGAGAGGGGACTCAGGAAACCCTGGCCCCAATGAGATGCTGAACTGACCCTCCAGAGGAGGAGAACAGAACATAGAGTTTGGGTACCTGAGTGGAGATGTGAACTCACGTGTCCCCAGTGCTGAGCTCCTCATGTGAGACCCGGGGAATGTCAGTGCCAAGGACACACGTGCACTTAGCCTCCTGCTTTTAACATGTCAAAATCTCGTCAAAATTCATCATCGGATGTTTGTCCCATTATTTCAGATCGCGAGAAGTTATCAAACCAAGCTCTAACTAGCAACTATAACATAGTTATTATTATTGTTATTCTGCGGGGGAACGACCTGTGCTTTGGACATTCTGATCTGGTCCCATTGAGGTTGCCCCACACACTCACAGCATGATATCCTTCTGACGTGAAAGACGCTGTACAAATGTAATGTTGTTGTTGTGTACACATGATGTTCCTTTCAATCCTGTTTTAATCACTTTACCTTCAGCTCACTAAACCAGGAACTCAACCTTTTAGGAACCTGTTACGCTCCCCATGTTACAGGGTCAGAGTTAGTGTAATCTGCCCTTGTTTATGTCAGTGAATTCCCCTTCAGTCACCACTGGGGTTCATTTCCTCAGGAAGAATAAAGAACATTCTCTTGGTTGAAGCGTATCTAAAGTTGATAATTGTTGGATAATCCCTGGCGTCTTCACCCCCTCCCCATCCCCCCATAAACCACATATTACACCCAATGTGTGTTTTAGCAAGAATAAGTCAGTTTTATTAACCTGAAGGATAATGTATGTGGGGGATATCATACACACAATGACAATAGAGTAAAACTGGCTAATCACCATCAAACACACAGTGATCTAGTGAACAATATCAAAGTAAAGGCCAGTTTAGTACAGATAAGATATTTTATTTATACGTATAATGGATGTAATGAAGCTGCAACGGGTTCAGCTAATATAATAATAAAATAATAATAATAAGTGTAACAACCCAAATTCTATGAACCGCCAGCTGCCGAACGTTCTGTGATCCATTAACTGCAAACAATATTGCAAGCGTGTCTTTACAGCCCTTTACACAAGACTGGGATATCTTGTTCCTACTTTATATGCCCTCAGAATGAACAGTGCGTGTAACGTGATTTGTTTTTAACATACAAATGAAACTATATTGATCATTGCGTGCTCCACATGTGCTGTTGCAGTGAGAAAATGCGTTAGAGACAGCATTTTGTGAATAAAATGGAAAACATGACCAGGGGAAAATTAGGAAATGTGCTTTCTTGCAAGTGTTAGTGAAAGTAAATGCATCCCACCTGACCCCCATAAACAGGTAAATACGAGGATGGTGGATGGTGGTGTGTGGGGAAAGGTGCGTATTGATTTATAAATAACAAATTATTAAGAATAGTGCATGATTTCGAATAGCATAATTAATAAAGAAAAATAAGTGTCACGTGACAAAGGGTGACCATAAAAACCATAAATGTCCAGTCTTGTCAAAAAAAACTAACTGAAGGAACATCCTGAACTGGACATCGGACAGCGTCACTGGGTAATGTGGGACATGATGTCTGTTACTGGGGTAAGTGGGGCCCGATTATTAAGGGGGAGGTGAAATCTGGGACAGTGAAATAAAGCATCAACTTTCATCCTCAAAATAATCGCAATTACTTTCATTCCATTGCTCTCCTGTGCTCTCTGAATGAACTTCTCTGGTGAATTAAGAGTTAGCGAAATTTGAGGACATTGTTTTATTGTTGAGCATCACATCTGGCTGGACTGAGGAAAGTGGACGATCATTGAAAAACCACTGAAAATTTTCAAGTGAGTTTGACATTTTTGATTATAATGCATCCTCTCATTGCTATCTCGATGCCGTGCTCAACCCAACCAGGTCTGGTTGCCTCCAATGGATTTAGACAAATGCCATAACATAGTACAATAAGCATATCTCTAACAATTTTACAATAACTGTAATCCGAAGACGAAAGGCGAAATCCAAACTTACTTGGTTCTTAATTCAAATATGTTTATTGGCTAATACAACTTTGCATTTTAATATGATTATTTTACAATCATTTTATTTTCTAACAATAAATTAGCTGATGTTGTCCTTGTGGCTCCTTGTTTTGATTTAGTCCCTTCTGCCTGTTCAGGTGGGTGTTAAAGATCCCGCAGCTCTATTGGAAAAGAGTTTCTCTCTCCTGGTGTCCTGGCCAACAATCCCCCAAATAAAATTGGTCACTTCCGTGGTTGTTTGTGGGATATTGCTCTGCGCAAATTGTCTGCCACGGTTGCCCACAAAATGCACAAAGCTACATTACTTACAGTACACCCTGGGAAGCGCTTCGAGAGATCTCGACAACATAGTAAGGCATTATACCAACAACAACAAGAACAAAATTACATTTATATAGCGCCTTTCACGTCGGGATGACGTCCCAAGGCACTGGACAATCAGAGCTTCGCATCCGAGCTGGGGGTCGGGATTGAGAAGGGTGGAGGGCAGAGGGGGTAGGAAGGTGACCAACGACACGGTCGAAGAGGAGGGTCTTGAGATGGGTCTTGAAGAAGGCAAGGGAGGGGGTGTGGTGGGGGAACTGCGGGATGGAGTTCCAGAGGGCAAGGGCAGAGCGGCTGAAGGTGGTTCAGTACCATTGAGTCCTGTCTGGGATCGGTTACACTTACAGTTACAATGAGATGACTCTGCTCCACTTGCAACACATTTTGACTTTGAGAAATTATGAAACTTTGAAGAAAACAGACACATCACGATCCTGTTAAAGCTATGGGAACCCTGTGATTGGGAACAAAATGTATTTCTTGACTTTGTCGCATTTTTCAGAGTTGCCGTCCTATGGATGAGACGTTAAAACTGAGGTCCCACTTTGAAGTGTCAGCTGAGACTTTGTGATTCCAAGTCCCGATGTGGGGCTTGAACCCACAACCTTCTGACTCAGAGGCCAGAGCCCTACCACTGCGCCAGTCTCACACACAGTGAAAATATAGTAAGGTTAATGTGGAACTATCTTGAAAACTTATTAAAAAGTCGGAACCATTGAGTATGTTAATCGATTTCGCTCTTCAGGTTTGTTAACCCTTTCTAACTAGTCCTCTTCCCTATGTCATTACTATTTTATATTAATAGTTTGACAGCCTAGATCGGTGGTAGCAGTCTCGCCTATGAGTCAGAAGGGGCTTGTTGGTTCTTAAGTAAGACGGACAGGTTGAGACCATCGTTCCAGATTTTTTCAAAAGCCCTTTTTACTAAATAACAAAGCATAGAATCTTACAGCACAGAGAAGGACCTCATTTGGCTCATCGTGCGTGTGCAATCCAACTTGTTCCACTCCCCTGCTCTTACTCCAAAGCCCTGCAAATTTTTTCCTTTTCAAGTACCTATCTAATTCCCTGTTGAAAGCTACTATCCAATCTGCTTCCATCACCCTTTCAGGCAGTGTGTTCCAGATCGTAACAACTCACTGCATAATTTTTTTTATGCTTTTATTTAAAAAGGTTTGTCAACTTGTCCTGCTAACGTGAAACGTTTGTGCATGTGAACCCCCAGGTCTCTCTGTTCCTACACCCCCTTTAAAATTGTACCATTTGTCTTATATTGGGTCTTCTCATTCCTCGTCCCAAAATAGATCACGTCACACTTCTGTGTATTATCATATACGCTCCATCTGCCATGTGTCTGCCCATTTCACCAGCCTCTCCATGTCCTCCTGCAGTCTGCTACTATCCTCTTCACTATTTACTAAGTTTCCAAGTTTTGTGTCATTTGCAAACTTTAAAATTTTACTCTCTGTGCCCAAATATATATATATATATCTTCCAAAGAGTTGTGCCGAATGAGATCCAGCGCAAGCATGATTGGCCAAGTGGCCTCCTTCTGTGCTGTAATGTTGTATGATTCTATACGTCCAGGTCATTTATTTAATATTTAGCTAGTTACTGGACCTCAAGTCGAGTAACTAGCTAAATAAATATTAAATAAACTTTACATTGATTTACAGCATGGAAACAAGCCATTTGGCCCAGTTTGTCCATCCTGCTGTTTGTACTCCACTTACTCACTCTCCACCCACTCCTTACTCCCTCCCTTCTATTCCCTTGTTCCTCATAGAAACATAGAAATAGGAGGAAGCAATTCAGCTCCTCAAGCCTGTACCATCATTTTATAAGACCATGGCTGATCTGTACCTCAAGTCCAGTTACCTTGCCACATATCCCATAATACCTCGACCGACGAAATATATATCTACTCCCATATTGAAAATGTGAATGGATTTAACATCTACAGCCTTTTGAGGAGAGAGTTCCAGATTTCCACAACCCATTGTGTGAAAAACTGCCTCCGAATTTCACTCCTAAATGACCCAGCTCTAATTGTAAGATGATGCCCCCTTGTTCTGGATTACCCCACCAAAGGAAATAGTTTCTCTCTATGTACCCTATCGAATCCCTTTGTTATTTTAAACACCTCAATCAGATCACCCCTGAAACTTTTAAACTCAAGGGAATAGAAACCAAGCTTCTTATAATTTAACACTTTAAGCCCTGGTATTATTCTTTTGAATCTGCGCTGCACCCCCTCATGAGTTAATATATGTAGAGTCCTGTAGTTAGTGGTTAGAGCACTTGCCTCACAAGTGAGAGACCTGGACTTGATTCCCAGCAGGGCAAAGCGTTGAGCAAGTTTCTTTGCTTTACACACCTCTGTTTACCGAGCAGGAAACTGGTTGTTAGTCGATTGGCAGATGGCTTTTCCGGGGATAATAATTCCTTCAAAAAAAATTGGTCACTCAATGCACAACTGTTTGTGGGACACTGCTGTGTGCAATTGGCTGCTGCGTTAACCCTACAAAATATACAGTCAATTCACTTTACAGTATATTCTGTGAAGCGCTTTGAGATGCCTCAGAGACGTGATAAGGCATATATCAAATCCACACTGCAGGACATGTCGAACATGTCGGGGCTGCTAATGCGGGCGGACAGAAAACACCTCAAACCTTAATCCTTTGGACTTCAATTTTAAAGACCCTCCAATGCAATGCTGAGTGGGGGTTGCATTGTCAGAGGGGACGTTCATCAGATGAGATGTAAAAATGAGGTTCCAGCTACCTGTTTAGATGGATGTTAAAGATAACATGGCT